TGGCCATCGGAAGGGGCAAAAGTACAAAAATTAGGAAAACCCACAAATTTATAGGGGATCCCCTTGGAAAAAATTCGAAAATTTTGAAAACGATATTTAAGCAATGTTTTGAATGAGGAAAGTCGCCCCTGGGTTCGCTGATTAGTGAATGGTACTTTGTTTCCTGATCGGATACAAATTGGCAGAGCTATGGCTATCGTAAGGGGCAAAAGTACGGAAATTAGGAAAACCCACAATTTTATAGGGGAGCCCCTTGGAAAAAATTCGAAAATTTTGAAAACGATATTCAGGCAATGTTTTGAATGAGGAAAGTCGCTTCTGGGTTCGCTGATTACTGAATGGTACTTTGTTTCCTGATCGGATACAAATTGGCAGAGCTATGGCCATCGGAAGGGGCAAAAGTACAAAAATTAGGAAAACCCACAATTTTATAGGGGAGCCCCTTGGAAAAAATTCGAAAATTTTGAAAACGATATTTAAGCAATGTTTTGAATGAGGAAAGTCGCTTCTGGGTTCGCTGATTACTGAATGGTGCTTTGTTTCCTGATCGGATAAAAATTGGCAGAGCTATGGCCATCGGAAGGGGCAAAAGTACGGAAGTTGGGAAAACCCACAAATTTATAGGGGAGCCCCTTGGAAAAAATTCGAAAATTTTGAAAACGATATTTAAGCAATGTTTTGAATGAGGAAAGTCGCTTCTGGGTTCGCTGATTACTGAATGGTGCTTTGTTTCCTGATCGGATAAAAATTGGCAGAGCTATGGCCATCGGAAGGGGCAAAAGTACAAAAATTAGGAAAACCCACAAATTTATAGGGGAGCCCCTTGGAAAAAATTCGAAAATTTTGAAAACGATATTTAAGCAATGTTTTGAATGAGGAAAGTCGCTTCTGGGTTCTCTGATTACTGAATGGTACTTTGTCGCTTCTGGGTTCGCTGATTACTGAATGGTGCTTTGTTTCCTGATCGGATAAAAATTGGCAGAGCTATGGCCATCGGAAGGGGCAAAAGTACAAAAATTAGGAAAACCCACAAATTTATAGGGGATCCCCTTGGAAAAAAATCGAAAATTTTGAAAACGATATTTAAGCAATGTTTTGAATGAGGAAAGTCGCTTCTGGGTTCGCTGATTACTGAATGGTGCTTTGTTTCCTGATCGGATACAAATTGACAGAGCTATGGCCATCGGAAGGGGCAAAAGTACGGAAATTCGGAAAACCCACAATTTTATAGGGGAGCCCCTTGGAAAAAATTCGAAAATTTTGAAAACGATATTTGAGCAATGTTTTGAATGAGGAAAGTCGCCCCTGGGTTCCCTGATTAGTGAATGGTACTTTGTTTCCTGATCGGATACAAATTGGCAGAGCTATGGCCATCGGAAGGAGCAAAAGTACGGAAACTAGGAAAACCCACAATTTTATAGGGGAGCCCCTTGGAAAAAATTCGAAAATTTTGAAAACGATATTTAAGCAATGTTTTGAATGAGGAAAGTCGCTTCTGGGTTCCCTGATTACTGAATGGTACTTTGTTTCCTGATCGGATAAAAATTGGCAGAGCTATGGCTATCGTAAGGGGCAAAAGTACGGAAACTAGGAAAACCCACAATTTTATAGGGGAGCCCCTTGGAAAAAATTCGAAAATTTTGAAAACGATATTTAAGCAATGTTTTGAACGAGGAAAGTCGCTTCTGGGTTCCCTGATTACTGAATGGTACTTTGTTTCCTGATCGGATACAAATTGGCAGAGCTATGGCCATCGGAAGGGGCAAAAGTACGGAAGTTGGGAAAACCCACAATTTTATAGGGGAGCCCCTTGGAAAAAATTCGAAAATTTTGAAAACGATATTTAAGCAATGTTTTGAATGAGGAAAGTCGCTTCTGGGTTCGCTGATTACTGAATGGTGCTTTGTTTCCTGATCGGATAAAAATTGGCAGAGCTATGGCCATCGGAAGGGGCAAAAGTACAAAAATTAGGAAAACCCACAAATTTATAGGGGAGCCCCTTGGAAAAAATTCGAAAATTTTGAAAACGATATTTGAGCAATGTTTTGAATGAGGAAAGTCGCCCCTGGGTTCCCTGATTAGTGAATGGTACTTTGTTTCCTGATCGGATACAAATTGGCAGAGCTATGGCCATCGGAAGGGGCAAAAGTACGGAAACTAGGAAAACCCACAATTTTATAGGGGAGCCCCTTGGAAAAAATTCGAAAATTTTGAAAACGATATTTGAGCAATGTTTTGAATAAGGAAAGTCGCTCCTGGGTTCGCTGATTACTGAATGGTACTTTGTTTCCTGATCGGATACAAATTGGCAGAGCTATGGCTATCGTAAGGGGCAAAAGTACGGAAATTAGGAAAACCCACAATTTTATAGGGGAGCCCCTTGGAAAAAATTCGAAAATTTTGAAAACGATATTTAAGCAATGTTTTGAATAAGGAAAGTCGCTCCTGGGTTCGCTGATTACTGAATGGTACTTTGTTTCCTGATCGGATACAAATTGGCAGAGCTATGGCCATCGGAAGGGGCAAAAGTACGGAAACTAGGAAAGCCCACAATTTTATAGGGAAGCCCCTTGGAAAAAATTCGAAAATTTTGAAAACGATATTTGAGCAATGTTTTGAATGAGGAAAGTCGCCCCTGGGTTCCCTGATTAGTGAATGGTACTTTGTTTCCTGATCGGATACAAATTGGCAGAGCTATGGCCATCGGAAGGGGCAAAAGTACGGAAACTAGGAAAACCCACAATTTTATAGGGGAGCCCCTTGGAAAAAATTCGAAAATTTTGAAAACGATATTTGAGCAATGTTTTGAATAAGGAAAGTCGCTCCTGGGTTCGCTGATTACTGAATGGTACTTTGTTTCCTGATCGGATACAAATTGGCAGAGCTATGGCTATCGTAAGGGGCAAAAGTACGGAAATTAGGAAAACCCACAATTTTATAGGGGAGCCCCTTGGAAAAAATTCGAAAATTTTGAAAACGATATTTAAGCAATGTTTTGAATAAGGAAAGTCGCTCCTGGGTTCGCTGATTACTGAATGGTACTTTGTTTCCTGATCGGATACAAATTGGCAGAGCTATGGCCATCGGAAGGGGCAAAAGTACGGAAAGTAGGAAAGCCCACAATTTTATAGGGAAGCCCCTTGGAAAAAATTCGAAAATTTTGAAAACGATATTTGAGCAATGTTTTGAATAAGGAAAGTCGCTCCTGGGTTCGCTGATTACTGAATGGTACTTTGTTTCCTGATCGGATACAAATTGGCAGAGCTATGGCCATCGGAAGGGGCAAAAGTACGGAAACTAGGAAAACCCACAATTTTATAGGGGAGCCCCTTGGAAAAAATTCGAAAATTTTGAAAACGATATTTGAGCAATGTTTTGAATAAGAAAAGTCGCTCCTGGGTTCGCTGATTACTGAATGGTACTTTGTTTACTGATCGGATACAAATTGGCAGAGCTATGGCCATCGGAAGGGGCAAAAGTACGGAAATTAGGAAAAGCCAAAATTTTATAGGGGAGCCCCTTGTTTTGAATGGGGAAATTCGCTTCTGGGCTCGCTGATTACTGAATGGTACTTTGTTTCCTGATCGGGTACAAATTGGCAGAGCTATGGCCATATGGGGAGCCCCTTGGAAAAAATTCGAAAATTTTGAAAACGATATTCAAGCAATGTTTTGAATGGGGAAAGTCGCTTCTGGGTTCGCTGATTACTGAATGGTACTTTGTTTACTGATCGGATACAAATTGGCAGAGCTATGGCCATCGGAAGGGGCAAAAGTACGGAAATTAGGAAAAGCCAAAATTTTATAGGGGAGCCCCTTGTTTTGAATGGGGAAATTCGCTTCTGGGCTCGCTGATTACTGAATGGTACTTTGTTTCCTGATCGGATACAAATGGGCAGAGCTATGGCCATCGGAAGGGGCAAAAGTACGGATATTAGGAAAACCCACAATTTTATAGGGGAGCCTTAGTTTTTTTTCTGATCGGATATTATAAGCTGAGTTGAGGCTTATCGGAGGGGCAAAAGTAGGAAAATAAGAAAGACTTATATTTTCATTAATCATGCATCACCATCCTGATACAATTTGTATATTAAATCCTTAATAGTTTAGAAAAGTTATGAGTTTGTGAAATAATTTTTAATCGCATGTCCTTACCTTTTAGTTTCAATTTCAAAAATAAAAATACATTTTTTGTTATTATGGGTAATTTTTGTAAAGCAAAATTTAAAATTAAGAAGGTCAAAGAATGTGTTTCTTTCACCGTTCGAACCGATTTGAGTCCTTTATATATGGCATAGTTTTTATTTTAATCGGGATAGCGTTTCCTTTAGCGCTAGCATTCGGATGTAAATATGATCATTTTTGAATTTAATCAAATTATAATCTTATTTGTCCGCAGTACGCATCTTTGATCTGGTTGATATATTATTTTTTGGAGCATGCAACTTTTTAGTCTTGGCGGGAATTTCTCTATTATTGGGTGCCATTGTGGTGAGATCTTTATTAAATAAGAGCAAAATTACTGTCCAAATAATTTGTAGTTTCATCATACATTAGTATGGATAGCCGTCGGAATACTGTTTCCTGCCACCATCATAGTTGGGATACACTTGTCGATTTCGACGCTAAGACATTGGGATGCGCATAATATTCTGTTAGATTTTGCATATCTCCTATCGAGTATTGTATTGACGGGTGAGTCTTCGCACACCCATCGACTTTATTTCAACAAATATAATACACAGGATTCTTGGTATTTATAACTGTGTCGCTGTATTTCTTTGGAAGTGATATAAAGAATGAAGAGGCATCCCGTGACTGGCGGCGACCCGATTGTCTAGGGGAAAAAATGTGTAGGTGGTTCTATTCTATAGAAGTATGGCGTATGTGGAGAAGGACGGTATAGTTTGACTAGCTGCATCTGTGATCGGGTTCGAATAAATTGGTATAAGATTCTGGTTTCTCAAATTGCCCCCTTTTTTTAGTATAAAAATAAAGACATCCCGTGGAAATGCTTTAATTATTTGTTGCTACAAAACTCATATGTACAAAAAATTCGTTTAAAAAAGTTGCGCCTATGCAATGTTGCAGAATGAGAACAAGATTATTGAAAAAGAAATAAAACTATACTTTTGTGGTATATCATTTTCGAATACTTGTATCATTGCCAATGAGAGATAAATGTAATTATATTGAGATAATGGTTTAATGTTCGCTATTTCAGTCCAATCACATTGTGTTCTCATAACCACAATTTAATAACGCATCGCTAACATTTCGAAATGCAAATGTGTCAGTACGGAATGTTTAGTGTTTCTGCTGTTGTTGCGCTGGTTGGCTTATCTGGTCCTTTTGTTGTTGTTGAATGGGAGCCTGTTGATTTTGAGTAAGCGGAGGACTATGATTGGAATCTTGTGGATGTTGCTGCTGTTGCACAGGTGCCTGTTGCTGTTGTTGCACAGGTTGTTGCTGCTGTTGCACAGGTTGTTGCTGCTGTTGCACGGGTTGTTGCTGCTGCTGCACAGGTTGTTGCTGCTGCTGCACAGGTTGTTGCTGCTGTTGCACAGGCTGTTGCTGCTGCTGCACAGGTTGCTGCTGCTGCTGCACAGGCTGTTGTTGCTGTTGATAAATTGGTTGCTGTTGCTGCTGTTGCTGGTAGATAGGCTGCTGTTGTTGCTGGTAGTTTGCCTGATGTTGCTGCTGCTGATAAACGGGCTGTGGCTGCTGCTGAGGGATCTGGCCAGCATGCTGGTACACCTGATTAGGATGCAGCTGCACGGGTTGTTGTCCATACTGCTGCTGATACTGTTGCTGTTGTTGAGCGTATTGCTGCTGCTGCTGATGGTGTATCTGATCGGGCTGTTGGTAATGAAGCTGGCCTCCTGGCTGTGGAACTTGCTGGTAGGCTACACCTTCGGGATGTGGTGCTGCGTAGTAGCCCTGTGGCATGTTTGGATGCGGCGGCAACTGACCTTGGGCAATCAGACGCTGTACTTCCTCCTGGCGCCGGCGTTCGTACTCTAAATACTCTTCATGGGTATACTGGGGCTGCTGATCGATAGTCTCCCACTCGGGGTCCTTCTGGAATTCCTCTTTGGTGGTCTGGGCCATAAATTCTTCAATACTGATGAGTCCATCGTGGTTAGTATCAGTTTCCTGGAAGTAGTGCTCCCGCATGCGTTCCATCTCTTCTGCCCGCTCCCGCATATCGTCCTCGGGAAGATCGCTCTGGTAGACCTTGTCCAGCTCCTTAACGAATAAGGCCTTTACCTCCGCCTCGTCCCAGTAACCATTGCTATCAACATCGTGGATGGAGAAGAAGGTCTTGGGATTAAAGTCATTTTTATCCATGTGGTCCTGCTTCTCCCACACCTCCTCGAGCTGGGCTTTATTGCCAGGATGGTGAAGCTTCTCGTGGTCCTTGTGCTTCTGTTCCTTGGCATTGACTTCAGCTTCAAACTTCTTGCGCGACTCCTCGTCCATTTCTTTTTTTTGTGCCTCGCGCTCGAACTCCTTTTGCATTTCGTACTCCTTGAACTCGCCTCGCCGCTTCCGATCAGCCTCTGCGAGGTCGTCGGAGGTCTTTTGGATCAGCTTGCGCAAGTCCTCAATCTCGAAGGTGTGCTCGTTTTCGTGGTCTAAATGCTGGGGCACTTTGAGGTGCTTTCGGTCAATGTCGTTGGACAGCTCAAAGGCCTTATTGGCCAGTTCACGCAGACGCTCAAGTTCGCGGCGCTTGATCTCATCCAGCTTGGTACGTACATGATGGTTCACGTAGTCCAGCTCCTGGGCAATCTTTCCGCTCTGTAAATAGGAAAATTAAGATATTGATTCTATATGGTAGAGAAATCTCTCTTAATCGTACCCTAATGTCTGCCTCAGGGGCCTTGTCCAACTTTTTGCGGAACTCGGGATCAGCCTCCAGGGCCTCCACGACTTCTCGTAGGTAGCGTTCATACTCTAGAGACGTCTCTACGTCTGCGGGAGCCGGGGTGCTGGCATCAGCCTCCTTGGTGTCCTTGTCAGCCTTTTTGTTCTGAGTGACGGGCAGTGCAGAGACCCAGGAAATGGAAATCAAGGCAATCAAAGCCAGGCCCAACAGGGCCACGTTCCGCGGCATGTCTGGTAGTGTGTTTCTTTGGGAGTGTACTTGAAGTTTTTACTAAATCCGACAGCTGTGCAAATAATTAACTAAATTCGGAAATATTCTGACGTGTCGGAGCTAGTGTTGTTGATACTATAACAAATTGGAAATTTATCGATATTCTTTGCCCATTTAAAGTACAACTATTTTATAGTGCGTTTTTCAACACTCTTTTTTAAGCAGAGCTCTGTTAACCCACTGTTAGCAGGAGTTTAAATATTGAAATTTAAAATATACGATTAATTTAACAATCTTTTTTATTTCAGTTCCTATTTTAAACTTAGTTTAACAATTTTACGGTTATGCTTTTGTTTTCTTTAATTTTCCCATTAGATTTCTTTTAATTTGCGGTTTTAAATCACCTTTAACTTTCTCAAGTTTTTTCAACTTGGTCCCTAAGGAATTCTCGATATTTTTTCTTTTTTTCAAAACCTTTTCTGTTTTTTCAATTTTTTTATGTTTGGCTGACTTTTGTTTTGACTCGTCTTTTCTTTTGGCTGACTTTTGCTTGGAATCCTCTTTTCCTTTGGCTGCCTTTTGCTTCGAATCGTCCTTTCCTTCCGGACGAATTTTAGTCGTAATGTCCTCGCGATCTAGAGGCTTCTTGGCGCGCATCTTAGCCTCCGACTTACGAACCTTTTTCATTTGTAGCATATATTCGGGAACGGTACCTCCGGAATTTTTAATAATCTGGGCAATGCTGAGAGTGAAATAGTCAATTAAAAATAATTAAATAAATCAAAGTTCACCCTTACTTTCTAAGATTCGCGGTGTCGTCCTGAGTAAAGAATGTTATGGCCCGACCAGGTCGACCTGCCCTTCCAGTTCGTCCAATGCGATGGATGTACGATATAGTCGTTGGCGGGAAGTCGTAGTTGATCACCAGATTGACTCCCTTAAAGTCAATACCTCTTCCCATAAGTTCTGTGCAGATAAGCACCCAAATACTTCCCTCGCGGAAGGCTCGCACGCAGTTATCCCGCTGATGCTGGCTGCGTTCGGCATGGATCACGTCCACATTGATGCCATCGTAGAGAAGCTCCTCGAATAACTGTTTCGCGCGGTCTTTGCTCTGGACGAAGACCAGCACCGGCGGCTGAAGGCCCTGACGCACCAGGTCTCGCACGGCCACCAACTTTCCGCTCTCCGATCCAACAAACAATAATTCTTGTTGCACTGAATCAGTGGCGGTGTTCTGTATGCCAATGGTGACTCGCACTAGGTTTTTGAGGTGTCTAAGGGCCCATTTGGCCACGGGAACTGTGTATGTGGCACTGAAGAAGGCCACACACTTTGATGGATTCGTGCAGGCCGCATAAATGTCGTCTAACTGCTCTTTGAAGTTGTTTTGTCCTTCCTCCATTAATCGATCAGCCTCGTCGAGAACAAACCACTCCACTTGAGACAAATCCAACAGAGGCGGCTGCTGTTGAAGCAGGAACCTCACTCGATTCGGTGTGGAGACCAAGATGTCGTAACGCTGTTTACATTCAGTGCCATGTTTTTGCTTTGCCTCGCTCACCTTGCTGATGAAATGGGTGCGAAGCCCAGTTTCCCGGGTGAGCTCCGCGCACTCGCGATATATTTGTTGGGCCAATTCTCGTGTGGGCGCTAGTACCAGAGCTCTCAGGCCAGTGGTTTTGTGAGCTCTTAGGCCGTTGATGAGTGGAGTTAGGAAGGCTAGCGTCTTTCCGGATCCAGTTGGTGCACAGGCCATTAGAGCGCGACGTTGCAGGAGAACCGGCAAGGCCTGCATCTGAATGGGAGTGGGCTGGGCAAAGCCGCGGGAAAGCACATTTTGCTGAAGGCGTGGGAGTAGCTTGTAGTCCTTGGTCAGGTCCTCGAAACTAGTCAAAGGAGCTGGCACATTCTTTCCCAGCACACTGATGTTATTTAGTTTCCGGACTTCAGCAGCCTCATTTGCGGCCAGTTCGTCCGCTGAAGGCGCCTTTTCTTTTTTCGGCTTCTTGCGTTTTGGCTCTGCGGCTTCTCCACTAAGTAATCTGAATTCTGAGGGCTCCTCTGCATCGTCCTCTGAGTTATCTTCACTCTTCACTTGATTTTGTTGTTGGGGAATCTGGACAACCGGTGCCACTTTTTGAGGCACTGTCTAAAAACGTGGTTTTATTAATGAAACCCATAACTTACTAGACTATACATACCTTGGGCTTTTTGGTGAAGCGTACACCCGCAGTAATCAACTTGAATATATCGTGCTCATCCATTTTTCGTTTGTTGTTTTCCTTTCAAAATAATGCACGTTTTTTGGATTTGTGTTTTCAAAAGCGTTGCCAGAAGAAGTAAAAATATTTAATAACATAGCTCTGTTAACCGCCAAATAGAGCTGCCAGATGTTTTTGGCGCTACATTTGAATTGGTTCTAACATTTAAAATCATCTTTATAGTTTTATGTTTATTATTTATTCTCCTGGCTCAATGGGTACCAGTTCGTCTAAAAGTTCCACACGGCGGCGCACCCCTTTTGAGTCTTTTTCGCTTCCCTTGATCCCCTCCAATACCCCTCCCCAGCTGTAGTTGGCCTGCCCATCGTTTACCAGGGCGTCATCCTGGTATTCTTCGCAAAGATTGTGCATGGCGCAGATGCTTTCTACGATGAGGCGCACCTCGTTCAGGTCGCGTGCCTCTAGGGCATATAGTGTGTTAAAGCGCTGTGCCAACTTGTCCAGAACTTTCTCAGCCAGCTGAAATGCTGGACGCAGAAGATCATTGAAAACTGTGTCCTTTTGGAAGCACTCCGTCTCTATAGGTCGCATTAGGTACGATTTCAAAGGAAAGACTCCATTGCCAATCAGGTAACTACCCGCCGGCATGGTCCTGGGGTTGAGGGCTAGCGTTTGGCCAATGGGCGAGTCCTCAAAACTGTATTCCATGGCCAGTTCCACGTAGCAGTCGATGATCTTACGCTCTGCATTACAGATCAACTGAAGTACTATCGGCACCTCCGCGTGCTCCGATTCCAGAAACACATCCAAACGCTTGAGAGTAATAATTCCAAATAGTTCTCGAAAGCATCGCATCTGCTCGAGCTCCTGGTAGCCCTGTAAAGTGCGCTGTTGGGCTGCCAACGAGTTTGGCCACTTGATGAAGCTCTCATAGTTGTCGGAAATACAGTGCCAGAAGCTACGGACAACCTGCTGGCAGACCGCCCAGGGCACCCGGAACTTGCGAGCAATTTCCTCGAAATGTTCATCCGTGGAGAGCTTCCACATGGCCAGCGAGAGCATAGTCTGAGCCGGCGGAGTAGGATACCCAGAAAGTGTAATACCTTGTAAGGTATCCTCTAGGATGTGTTGGATTTTCTGCAAGCGACAAGTATTATTTTAAATCCCATAATCTAAGAGAACTAGAATACACACCAGGAATGTGAGTTTTCGCATGTGCAGATTCGACTCGAACTGGGCGTCCGTGTAGCGATGCAGCAGGTTGAGTTCCGCGTGTTGCCATTCCAGCTTGGCCTGTTTAGGTTCCGGCTTTTGCTCCTCCGGCTCATCGGGCTGTCGGCGTTTTCGAGCTGAAGCCGCCGCACGTTTCATCTGCATCAGGGCAAATAATTCCGCCTCGTCATCGTCGTCGCACGCATCTAGGAGAGGAAAACTTATTGGGGCAACCACCGCCGGCGGTTGGTCAATCAGCAGATCCTTGGTTATTATGGAGGCGATGTTGGCCAGCACAGCGCGTTCCTCCATTTTCAGCCCTGTGTTCGTAGAACTGTTCCTGTCAATGTTCCGGCTGGATTTCTTTACTGTCGTCCTGTCAACCCCCTTTTTTTGAGTCAGCTGTTCTTGGGGTAGATTTGCAACCCTGTTTCAGAGTTGCCAAGGTGGAAAGCTCCTTGTTTGCTAGCAGTATATTTTATTTGAAAAATGCCTTATTACAAATACTTAAGAACTAAAATAAAAGTATAACACGTAGCTGAATTTTAAATTCAAGAATATTCCCGAGGCTATCCACAAGGAACTCCAACATAATCGCATACCAAAGGAACTGAAAGAATTTTAATTTATAAATATTATATTAATAAATATAAAATATTGTGTCTTACCACTTGTGGGTTTCTGTTGCTCGAATGTCTCCCAGGTGCAAGTATGCCAAGTAGGATCGGCGCTTGGCAAACTGGCCCTATTACCTGGAGTCGAGGCACTAGCTCTTAATTCCCTTAAACGTTTTCGCAAAGCAGCCAAGACATCGGAATGCCGTTCGGAATAAGCCAGATTGTTCTGCTCACAAGGATCTGCAGATATGTCGAAGAGACAATCCTCCAACAAGGGATTACAGGATCTTTGGAAGTCTCCACATTGAACGGCAGCCGATCGTCGGAGGCCTGTGATCCTTTGCTGCGTCAGGCGGCGCAGATCCAGACGGGCTAGAGCTCGCGATGTGGGGGAGTTCCGTATCGTCACGGCATAACGATTCTCGCGGGGATCGATTTCATCAAACTCGCGATAGGTTAGCACCGAATCGTATTGACCGGCACTGGTGGTGCCGTTCACATACTTCCAGTGACCCATCAGGAGCGATCCCACCTTCCACACGTCGTCCAGACTGTGAAGTATCTCCCGGGGCACGTGAGGAGCATCTGCCGAACCGGAAAGTTGCGGCCATAGATCGATTCCGTCCAATCCGGCCAGGATTTGAGGTTCCAGTTCAATGTCCGCTGCATGGGCCAGTGTGGGCAGCCAGTCGCCCACATAAATGGGCTGGGTGAAGATGCTGCCCCGCGCCACCATCTTGGAACTCCAAACAGCGCCTGCCACGCGAACTCCGCCCTCCCAGGGTGTGTTCTTCTGACCGCGAAGTGGCCAATTGGACCCAGTGTTGGCAAACATACCCACTGATGGAGCTCCGTTGTCCGAGTAGAAGATCACAATGCTATTCTTTAGCTGATCCGTGCTGGCCAGAGTGCTGATAATCCGGCCTACGCTTTGGTCCAGCTTGGAAACCATGGCTAAGGACCAATTTAGGTTATAGAAGAGACAAAATAAAAGGACTAAACGACTTACCAGCATACTTCCTTCGATTGGGATCCTTGATATAGGAAAACTTTCGTATTTCCTCCTCCGGTGCCTGTAAAGGATCATCCTCATTGGCCGTGTGAGTGGCCAGATGGCTGAGCATCAGGAAGAGTGGTTTATCCTTGCTAGTCTGCTCTTTAATCAGCCGCTCTGCCTCGGTAGTAAGTAGATCCGTCACATAGGTGCCTCGATCCTTGCACTCCAGGTCCATGTTGCGCCGGAAATCATAGCCCAGACTGTAATTGGCCACCGGCATCTTGGAGCGCCTCTGGTAGTAGTCGATGTAGGCGCCCCAGTAGCCATAGTGATAGTCAAAGCCCCGATGTGTGGGGGTGTACTCCGGACGGGAGAAGCCCAAATGCCACTTGCCCACCAGATTAGTGGAGTATCCTGCTCGCTGGAATATTTCTGGCATCAAAGTAGCATTGGAGTCCAGGGCCCAGGGCTCCTCGTTGCTGATAACAAAGTGCTGGGTTCCTGTTTTGAAGAGGGATTAGCTTGGAAGTGAGGGATTGGGTACCTGGATTCCTTACCCGTGTGTATAGGATAGCGACCGCTGAGAAGGGCTCCTCGGGAGGGCGTGCACATCGCCGGGGCGTACAGGCGATCCAGAATACGACCATGGTAGGCCAGGGCATCGATGTTGGGCGTTATAAACTCCCGACCTCCGCGGAAACTTACGTCGTCGAAGCCCTACAAAGTGTGTTTTGTTTTAGGAAGGTATTGATTAATGATATTAAAACTAGTTCCACCATGTCATCGGCCATTATGATGATTATGTTGGGCCGCCTAGCTGCCTTTGCCTCTGATTCAGCTGCCTTCCCTTCTCGGAGGCAGAGTAAAAGTAGAAATGTCGCTGATAAGCTCCACATTTTGGTTACTCAATTTCCAAATTGGACGATCACGTTCCGCCTCAGACGGCAGCTCCCAAACGACTGATGACGCCCCGAGGTCTACGTAACATCTTGTCTTGACTCGGATCGGATCGATTAAACTCAACGCGAGTCAACGCGACTCGATCTCCGAATGGGTCTCCCCCGGCATCTCACTCGCAGCTTCCCACCATGAGTTGGAGCTTCAGTTTCGGCTACCGATCGGATCGATTGAGTCCAAATAGACAGTCACTAACCGCTTCATATAATTATAGCAGCGATATAATTATAACAACATGTCTAAATACACAACATTCGAATGAGTTTAATGGGTGACAGTTGAATAAACTGAAATATCAGTCACCAGGTCTATCAAGGTAATTGATTATCTCATAATTTTATGCATCATAGATTGCATAGATCTCATCAATTCTTTATTAAACTAAATCTTATATGGATAATTGTTAAAACCATGATGAATACTAACTATATAACATCTAACTGACTTCGCAGAGCCGCATAGAGTGGAATAATACTATTGGGACACGCAGACTTAGGCTCTAAATTAGCTACACACGCACACAGTAAAGGCATAATCTGATCTTGATCCTGATTCTGATCCTGATTCTCATTAGTTTCCTGATCTGCTCACCAAACAACGGCCCTCGTGGCCGCCGGCAGACCACAGATGGCATTGTGGACGGGAATCGCGAGGAATCCGGCCAAAGCGATGCCATAGGAATCCGACTGCACCACCATGGCCATGGCGAATTGTTGCCTCTCCGCGGATATCTCCTTGGACATGCGATAGAAGGTGTTGACATAGGCACCTCCGCCAAGGAGACCCTCCCACAGGACAATGGCAAACACGATCCAAATACTAGGCGTGTACCACCAAATGACTTCGGTGAGGAAGTAGACCACGTTGACGAACTGGAAGATGGACATTAACCAGATCTTGTCCAGTTGGAAGACATTGACAGAGGAGCGCGAGATAAAGACCCCGATCTGGTAGTCCACGTTGAGCCAACGATACTGCGAGTCCTTGTCCAGGAAGATGTCCTCAAAGTAGACCAGTTCAAACTGAAATTGTAAAATTAATTTTAAAAACAAATTATTTGTATACTAATTCTTCTTACCAATCCCTGGTTAATGAAGTACTCGAAAAAGTAAACCAAACAAAGGGGCAGCATGTATTTGAACAAGTGCTTGATGTAGAAAAACTTTTCCTTGAACCCGACCAAGGGTTTCTCGTCGCTGATCAGAACCTCAGTGGACTCCACGGTGGTGACTGGAAGAATGTCCACCTGAGGACGACGGAGGACTAGCCAAAAAGCGAAAGCCTCAATGGCAGGGAAGATCAACATGATCAGCATGGTGTCGCGAGGACTGACATTCAAGGATCTTAAACTGGCATAACTCAAAGAGCCAATAACTCCAGCACCTCCAGTACCCGAAGACCAAGTCGAAATTACATTTCTGCATTAAAAAATATTAATATTACAAAGTTTGTGTTTTTAGAGATATTTTTTTATAAGCTTACTTGTTATAGCGTGAGGAATAGGCCAGGAAAGTGGTTTCTCCAATTCCACTGCTGGCTGAGGTGATGATCACTCCCAGAAGAGCCATCCACTCGGCATTGGCGAATCCTACCAAAAGGAAACCAGCCGCCGAAAAGGCCACAGCCAAAGCAATTCGAAAGCTAAACATAATTTGTATGTTTAAGATTGATTTAATATTTAATTCTTTAACTACTTACTTGACCCAAAATGGAAAGAAGGGCATCAGCATCTTAACAAATAGAGAGGGTAAGACATCAGCCAACAAAATAGCTCCAGTGGATACCAAGTGACAGTTTCTGCCCGAAGAAGTCTCTTCATCATCATCGGTCTAGAAATGATTTGGATTATTATTCATAGGTTTTAGGTATATCTAGGTATTATTAGTTATTTACAGGATTAAACTGTTTGATGATATCGTGGGCAGCACTGAGCATCACCACATAGCCATAGTTGTTGCAGAGACCCAGAATCCAGTAGGCAGTCAAGTCCCTCCAAAGACCCCGATCGTGTCTAGAGCTACGGGCTGCATCGCCGGGGGCAACCACCACCTGGGGGTCATGTTCGGACTCGGCCTCTTGCTGTTTGCTAGCCGTCATCTTGACCAGGCCAACTGTAAAGAGAGTGAAAATAGTTTTAAGTACACCTCAGACCAAAACCCTCTAAAAAAACCCTATATATGGTATATATATAATATACCTAATTATACTACGCCTCATTACCGCTATAACTTTGAAGAAAAGAATAACTTGTTTCTCTTTAATTTTGCAAAAGCTTTTCATCATTTTTACTCTCTGCTAGGAAAAAACTCTTAAGTAAGTGCTAAGTTTTTTATGAATTAATGGCCGCTCGAGTCGAATTTAAACAAATTATTTAATTTGTTAAGCTGAGCATGTGCGTCATTGGTCTTGAACTTGTAGAAAACTATGAATTGGGGAAGCCGTTTCAATAAAAGCGGTTGACTTTCGTGGAAATTACGTGAAATAAATGCTAAAAAATTTGTATGCATATCATCGAAGGTGGTAAAATACAGCTGTTTAGTTCAAATTCATGGACTGACAGGTTAAAAGCCTTGTTATTTGTTTACAGACAATAGAATGAGCTTCAATGAATAGTTTAGTAGTTTTTTAATATTTTATGGTAAGTAAGCGATGTTTAGTTTACTCATAATTTAAAATACTAACTAAAAAAATTACTTACAAAGTAAGTTTCATTTTCTAACTTAGTGTAACCCAAAATTAGAGGGGGAAATGAACTAAATGGGACATCGCCGGACGTATATATAGAAAATCAGTTTATTGGCAATGATTTAGTTAGTTCAAAGTACAGGTTATTTCATTTGTTTACATCCGACAGAACTTGTGACTGATACTAAAATAAAGATAAAATAGAAAATATAGGAAAACAACAAGAACTAAACCGGAAAGGCAGAGAACCTCCTCCACAGGCGATGGATTTGATTGACATTTATAATTTCCCCGATCAGTTGCAATTGACCTTGCAATTGTTTTATAAATGGGTTAAAAAAAGAAAATTAAATTAAAAACAAGTACTGTTAGCTAATCAAGTTAGAACTAGCCAAGTGGCAAATAATTTAAAACAAATTAACTGCCAAGTTCGATTAGTTGGTGCAACCCGCAAGTGCAGAAACATGATTATGGAATAATGGGTTTGCCAACATTTAGTGACTCATTCTTTGGGATTCACTTGATCCATTTGCGCAGTTATGAAGTGGTTGACCCACTTCGTAGAGCACTTTCCTATCGAGTTACTCTTGCTTATTACCCAAAAAGAATTCATATGACACTCGAACGAAATGCATTTCGAAATATCGAAAGTAATCTGAGATACATAGAGGAACTTTTGCTGGGGTTGCCTTGGACTCTAAAACTATGGAACAGCAATAAATTGTGCCGATTCTTTGATTTTTTAATCCATATTTCTCACACTTTTAGAAACAAGTAAGGACCGTTAATTATTCTTTAGTTATTATAGTTTCTAACTTTTTTTGTTCAAAACGAGGTTTATAAAGTATTTCTCAGGCTTATTGACTAATAATGTTATAAAGCTTTGTTCTAGTACTTAGAACTATTCTAGTTATACTCTTGAACTTTAATATATTTTAACTTTTATGAACTATGTTAAAATATATTGAACAAAATTATGTTTTTTTGATATTTTTTTCACTTTTGAAATGATTTGTTTTCAAGAAGTTTAACCAATAATTATGATTTTGAAAGAGATCCTATATTTGTTATCACTTTCATACCAGACACTTGAGTTTATTGACCATTATTTGATGGTCTATTACGTACACTTAGTCTGGCAATATAATTAGTTTTGTGAGGATTTCCGAGAAGGTATAACCACAAAATCGGCAATCCAATGGCAACGACGACGATTCGCACGTTGGGGCGTTCGATGAGTGACTGAACCTGAATATAGTAAGCCCTCCCAACTGAACGAGAACCAATAACAATCGGTAACAGCAACAACAATAAATACAAAAGCAAAAGCATTGAAAACAACAACAAGAGCGGCAAAGACCTAAAGTGCGAGGTATCACGCGAGTTGCCAGCGGGAGCATAAAAAACAATGCTAATTGAAACTAAAACAATTGCAGATGCAACAAGTGCCAAAGTGCCGATCAGGCAATATATATATAAAATATATATATATGTACTTCAGGTAGCACATTCAGAACAATATAGCTATAGCGGCGGATTTAATTCAATTTGGTTTAAGGAAAAAGGGGGAGTTGAGGTCGGTCAGCGAACGTCACGTTTTTCAGTCTTAATTGCATACACTTCAAGAAGGTATTCGGATTACGATAAGATCTTTGGCTGCCTTGGATTAAGAAATTCCTAAAGTCTTTATCATCCTTGATATTCGATCGCCTGACGATCCTAAATAATCTGATAGTAAATCGATTAGATTGCGAAAATATATAAAGATTGTGTTGAGAGGCTTCTACGATAATAAAGTACTCGTCTTAAGACATGTGCTTGCTCTTAGTTCATTATAAAATATTAAATCAAAATAACTCCTAAGGGTATACAAAGATTGTCAAGTTTTTTCCATAAAATATTTGTGGTTAACTGCTGTTAATAAAAATATAAAGCGCATTTTGAGTTATTTCCAGTAAAGTCATTTATTATCAGGTACTATTGGTTTAGTTAACTAAGCTTGATTATAAGTCATAATCGTAGTTTTTATTATTTTATTGGCGCACCACGTGGCGTATGCGTAATTTGGTGTTTAAAACTGGGAAATAATTTTTTTTTTTAAATTTGCATATTTTTTACAGCTTTATTAAGGTTATTTAACTCAGAAAGTAACCGTTCAGTTATGCAAACAAAATTCACTTGACTAACTGGAAATGCTGGTTAATTTTAGAATTTAATATAAATTTACGATTTTCACTTTATTCTGAAAAATATTGCGTACCGAGATAACTTCTCCACAGGATTAAATAATTCCTAAAAAAATATTTAGTTCCGCCTGTGATTTAAGTCACTCGAGCTATGAAATCCAACTGAGAAGTGTCGAATACGGACCTAGACTCCGGCCGGACATGCTGCAATCGACATTATCATTATCGTTAAGTGGCCAACAGATTAAATTAAAGATAAGGCTTTCGCAGCATTGGGCCATATAAATCTTGAGATACGAGTATCAGTCGTATATGACAGGCACTGGATGTATGCCAGAAGGAAACATGGCAATCAAGTGGCTTGGAGACGTACTAAGAGGAGGACCCAATGGCCACCAAGGTGGTTTTATCTTTAGCTGCTCAGTTAAATGTAATTATCGGGTCTAGCTGAAAGTTTCCCCATCATAAAGTTTATTCGGTTTTATTTCCCTTTGTGGAAATCCGCGTTTTTTTTGCGTTCATTTTTAGTTTGTACAAAAACCACCGAAATCAATTTCACACCGCAGCCGCAAAGCAGGGAACACTTTATTTTTTACTTTGCCTTTGGGTTATACATTGCATTTGATAAAAAATAGAAATAATAGTGTTTGTTGTTGACAAATTGCAACAAAATGGAAGGGTCTCTGATCCTTGTTTGGAATGAAAATAGTTCTCAAGTGCCTGTCAATTTTTCAGTCAATTTAATGGTGTTCTTTTAATGAAAGGGAAAGTATTTTGTCAGGAGGTTTAACATAGGGTGTTGACAGCTCAATTGGGTTGATATATGTTAGGGCAATTTATTAGAGTGCCAGGTCGGGGAGGTTTTTAAGTTAGAGACTAACATTTGGCAAAACTGTATGCCAATATTTGTTATTAGTTAAAGTTGAAGGATACTCAGTAATCTCTGGAACAAATATTGAACCCCCCTTTAAAAAGCTTGGAAATCAGATGATATAAACGTCTGATATCAGGCCTATGTCTTGTTTATCAACCCCCCAATAAAATGTCATGTCAACAGTTCTATAACTACCCCCTTTCCCAGGACTGATTACCCAACATCACGTGTCACTCTCATCTTTATGGCCTCAATCACTTCCGATAAAGCCGGCGGCGAAAATAATTAAAATAACACAAATCAGGTGACAAGGGCAAAATCTGATTGATTAGGAGGGAAAGGAACTCAATGTGGTTTGAGGGAATACCAGTTACCTGTTACTAATAGGCCCAAAGCAGTTATCGGGCAGAAAAAACTTGGCGACAAAGTTTTCGATTCGAATGTGGTCTGGCATGAAAATGCAAATCAAATAGCCTGCGGAGAATGAATAAAACGATTGCCGAAAGTAAAAAAAATATAAAACGTAACCGCCAAACATGAAAAGTTTTTAATGCAAATACGAAAATCGCACGTCCTTGCCACGCCCCGCGCGAACGCCCTTGCCACCAAACCCATTTTGGCCTTAACGAGGCGTGCAACAATTTTCGGGCGGGAAAAAACAGGAAGCGAGAAAAAGCATCCAACCTGCATAATTTTGTAATGCAAAAAGTTAATGCAAAGTGTTTTTATTTTCTCCAGGATTCAGGATTCAGGGTGCAAGTGGTGCATATATAATAGTCCTCTATATATAAAGTTAAAGCGATTTTAAAGCTCTATTCGTGGTAGGTGCGACGGGAAGTGAAGCAACGTTGCCAGGCCAGTTCGATGGCGAGAATGAGAATGACCAGGATGTAGGCGCAGACCAGCATAAGGAGCAGGGGAGCCACGTACTCCATGCCCACGGTTATCACAAAGTTCTGGGCCACACAGTGCAGTTTCATGTGAACCCAGTAGCTGCGCTGTTTCCGATAGACACCAGTTTCCAGGACTCGCAGGAGCCTGAAAAGGGATTGTTAAATTGGTTAACCTTTAAACCGATAAAGGGTTTAAGAACTTAACCTCAATCTGAAGAGTTCCTTGTAGGTAGAGTTCCTGTGCAAGTGTGTGTAAAATAACTGCTCTGGTCGGAAAAGGACTTCATTTAAATCGCATATTTGCTGGGCTGTGAAATAACGCTCCACATAGGCATATCCTGAAGATGTTTCAAAAACATAAACATATCCCGGATTGTCTCTAACGCGGAGGACACCCTCCTCAGCAGGCAGCCAGAGTTCCGGGTTCTTGGTCTGTGTTTCAATTTTACGTTTAATAAACAAATGTATCTCCGGGAGGCGGGAGTACTATAGCAGATACAATTATTTTAAAATGAAAGAGAATTTTTAAAGGAAACCCACATTCAGATAACTTTTGGTAAAGGGCAGTGGTTCCAGGCCCACTGTCAGAGGACTCTCCGCCAGCTGCTGCATGGTCTTGATCTTGGACTTGACTGGAGAACTCAGCAGAGAGGATACCACTACCGATGTGTAGTAGTTATACATAATGAAGCTGATCAGGAAAAGGGCAAAGTATATCAGCCTACCCCCAGTGGATCGAGGAATCAGAGCCGAGCTTTGGATGCAGGCTGCTCCAAAGCTGATCAGAAAAGTACTCAGAATCGAGGGTAGGTAATCCAACCTCCATCGCCGACACATCCGCTTGCATTCCATGTAGAAAGTGACCCACAAGAGGAAACCAATCAGGGAGAGTACTCCACCGAAAAGATACCAGACCGTAGGACTAAAGGGCTGCAGGAAAACATCGCCCCGGAGGCCGGCATTATGGGGAGTCCGGAAAATACAAACGGACCGAAAGAAGCCCGTCTCAATGATGGCTGACAGATATTTCAGCCTGCCTTCGGTGGCCAGAGAAGGAGTGGCTGTAAGATCTGCCGTTTGATCCACCACAGCACCTACCGAACCACCAACTACATCCGATTTGCTCCAGCTGTCGGAGAAAATGAACTTCATTCTGAAAACTTAAGGGTTAAGGAAAAATAATACACTTTTTTGGAAAACCCTACTTGCAGTGGAGTAAATCTCTTAAAATCAGGGTCAAATGAAACCCAAACCTGGCCAAGGAATCTATATGAGTGTCGTTCTCCTGGCTTAAAAATTGTATAAGCATATCATCTGACCAGGTTAGAGGTCTTTGGGTAACCACTGTTGCCACTAGAAATATAAAGATATGTAGATATATAAATATATATGCCTTGTAAGAAGTTTTACCTCTTAAAACTACATCTGTAAGTTGCTCTCGATTTCCATATCTAGACCTTTTCAGTAATGAACTTAAATACTTTACCCTTTCACATCCTTTAAGATCACAAGCAGCTTCATAGGATCCTGTCATATTAAGCTGGCCGCCAATGATTTTTCCATTATTATAGACATCATACAGGGAGTAGCGAACAGAGGAGTTACTGGCCATTAAATCCTCTTTCACATAACTAACATCTGCATCAATGGAAATATTAAAAGGAGCAAAGAAATCATAAAACTCAAACTCTGATTGGTTTCCGTGTATCAGCCAATGATAATGCTGATTGTAGAGCTTCTCCAAACTAGCCTAATAAATAATTAGGCTACATTATTTGAGTTAAAAACTACTTCAAACTCAATTACCTCCTTCAATAAATCCCTAGCTTGTTGACACTGAAAATCCACATAGATGGCTAAAGTAGGTTGGGAGTGATCCAGATATTTCAGCTCCAGATCTGTCCAGTTTTGGACACCTCTCATATGAACAAACTGATTGTAGACAAGATGACGATGAATGGGATTGACGAACTGCTGATAAAACTTTAGACCTAAAAAGATAGGACATATAATTTTAGAATAATTGTTTAAAGTTGTCACCCACTTTCATTTCTCTGCCAGCAATGGAAAAATATTATGAATCCTATCCGTGACTGGAGGAGATTGTCCAGCACAAAGTTGGCCAACTGCAGCAACTGCATTCTTGTTGACTTTGACACTTTTGGCTTTCACCAATGGACTTTTCTTTTTTATATGGCCGTAAATAAATATTCCCTCCAATTTGGCTGTCATCAGAGTTCATTGTTTGTTTTTAAATTGCTGCAAATTGTTTTGACAATTGCCATTGGCCTTGGCAGACTTACACTAGTGAAGCGTTGTGTGGCGATGCCAGAGGACCTCTAGGGCCAGCACACCCACACAGACTATCATGGCTCCCAGGAGCATGATGAACAATGGGGCAGCATACTCCAGACCCACGGCTACCGTGTGATTGTGTTGATAGCAGTGGAGTTTGGTCTTCATCCAGTAGAGTTCGTGTTTCAAATGGACCCCTGTCTCCAGCATTCTCATTTCACTTATTGAAGAAAAAACTATAAATTAAATCCCGTTCAGAAACTATACCTACTTTAACCGGAACAACTCTGCATAGGGTGAGCCCTTGACCACCACCGTGTGAGTTACTGAAGCATCTCGCAGAGGAATCTCGTTCAGCTCGCAGATCTGATGGGGCAGGAAGTATTTCCTCACAAACTCATACGCCGTGGCCACTCCGGCTATGTAGACGAAGCCGGCATTATCCCTCACCGCCTTGACTCCCGCTTCGGTGGTGAGCCAGATCTGATCCGGAGACCTTTTGCTCCCAACCACCTTGTTTAGGTACAGACTGTGAACATCCCTCTTCTCCGAAGTCTCCACATAGGTCCGCGTATATACGGTGGGTTCGATGCCCACCTCCAGACTGCTGTCCGCCAGCTGCTGGAGTGTCCGGATATTGGACTTTACTGGCTGTCCCAGAAGCTTGGACACCACTATCGAGGTGTAATAATTGTACATCAGAAACGAGGTCACCATCAGGGCGTAGAAGGCCATCCGTCCTCCGGTAGACCGGGGCGTTAGCCACGCTCCCTGGATACAGCCTGTTCCGAAAGACAGCAGACAGGTGGTCAGCAGCGAAGGTTTCCATTCGCGCCTGCGCTCCAGGAGAAAGGTGATCCAAAGGAGGCACCCAGCGAAGAGGAGTAGCAGCGCAAAGGTCAGCCAGACGCCTCCGCTGAAGGGTTGCAGAAACTCGGTGGCACTCAGGCCGGCGGATACGGATCGAGGATTCCTGAACATGCAGATCTCTCGGAATACACTGAACCTGGTCACTGGCTGGAGGAACAAGCCCCTCTCAAAGGAGTAGATAAACGGAGCTATGGAAATGTCAGCCACATCAGTGATCAGGTCGCCAATCATGCCACCAGTTACATTGCCGTCGTCCGTCCAGCGGTCTCTGAATATATAATCAAATCTAAGGATTAGAAAAAGGATGCTGAAATATTAAAGTTTCCAATTTTAAATATTAAGATCCCTACTGGCAGTCCAACATATCCCTCAGTGGCTGGCGGGACTGGTAGCCCATTCTGGCATAAGTATCCACATGAACGTGATCTATGTTCTCCATGAAGGCCAATATTTCTTCTTTCGATGAATTTTTCGGCAAGAAATTTACCTTACAATTATTTTTAATTAAAAGACGAAAATAAAGTTATTAAAAATAGGTAACATACCACTGCAGTAGCTTTCATTGTCAAGCCCGTTAGAGACTTTCGATGTTGCAGGGGTTTTCTTGTATAAAAATCAGTGAGATATCTTTCTAACTGGCATGTCTGATTATTACAAGAAACCACTCTATCTGCTGTGATATTTAATTTTCCTCCCAATTGTAATCCTTTGTTATGCAAGTCATAGAGAATTAAACTATTGCCAGACGGATTCTTCATAACATAGGTAACATCGGCATCGATAAAGAATTTGGTTTTCTCGAACTGCGTTTTCATTTTTGAAAAATTATTAAAGCCATCATAAATCAACCAATGATAGCGATGGCTAAAAAGTCTCTTGTCACTTGCCTGTTGAGGAAACAGGTTATTTTTAAGATTAACTTTATTTGTATACCCTTGCAGAGGGTTTTCGAATCGGGTACTATTCGAGGGAGCTCCGATGATATTCAAATATAAACTGCCACTTAACTGCAAGGGTATATCAACTTCAACTCCTCCCAAAGTAAGATTTCCTTTCTTGATTATTAATAATACTTGCCATGTTAAGAATCGAACAACTTTGATTGCAATTGATGTCCAGAAACAAAGCCATTTTCAACATATCGTGTTTTATGAAAGATTCTTCAATTCCCATATGTGAGTTTATGCTTTTAAATTGTGTAAATAAATTTCTACTTTCTGCCAATTGTGCAAAATCTAATAAAGCTGGAAATATTAAAAAAATAATAGCTATAAAATTAAAGTTAACACCAATAAAAACTCACAATCTTTTGACCAACAATGCAAAATCAAGAGATGACTCAACTTGGCCATTTCCAAAATGTTGTAAAGAATTAAGTTGTGCAACTCCTGCATTTCCTTTATTCGAACTTATAACTTGGATATTAATGATACTGATTAGGGCTAAACAGTGGCTTATATAGGGTACACATAATGCCGCCCTCTGGGAAAAAAAATCGGTGATTGAACTTGAGTTGACAACTTAATGGTTTGACAACTTAATGCTTGAAAGGTTTGTCAAAAGAAATCGCAGGAATTGATGGACAATTTAATCAAATTAAAGCTCACCTAAATTGTGTTGAATTGTGGGAGGCTTTTATAGTTTCAGGTTGAGGATTGTCCTCCGGCCCCATCGCGCCCAGGACAATTCAAGCAGAAGGATCATCAGGGCCAACAAATAGGCCACCAGGAGGGATATAAACAACGGAGCAGCATACTCCATGCCCACCTGGATCACAAAGCTATTGGAGAAGGTATGCAGCTTGGTCTTGCTGAAGAAGCGACTGTGTTTCGAGGTGATTCCCGTTTCCAGCATCCGCACCTGGAGCTGGGTGAGCAGCTGCCTGTAGGTGGAGTTAAGATGAATCATCCCGTAGACGGCGCTTTCGGGTCGCAGCTTAATCTCATTTAGATCCGAGATCTCTCGGGGCAGATAGTGCTTCTCCACAAAGTGGTACATGAACGAGGCCTCCGAAGTGTAGACAAATCCTGGCTGATCCCGCACCCGAATGACACCCTCCTCCGGAGAAAGCCACACACTATTCGGATCCCGTTTGCTTTCCACTTTTTGCTTGTAAAGACTGCGGATATCCGGACGAGGTGAAGACTATGGTGAGGTATAGTTAGATCCAAGATTTCAATTAAATGAAGTGAAACCTCACCACTAAATAAGTCTTGGTGAAGGGCACTGTATCGAAGCCCACATCCAAGGAGCTATCCGCCAATTGCTGGATAGTCTTAATATTGGACCGGACTGGGGATCCCAACAGCATGGCCACTACAATGGATGTGTAATAGTTGTACATGAGAAAAGAGGTCAACATCACAGCTATGAAGGCTAATCGTCCCCCGGCGGACTTGGGCATCAAATAGGAACCCTGAATGCAGGCCGCTCCAAAACTGATCAGGCAACTGGAAAGCAACGAAGGCATAAACTCCAGACACCTTTGCATCCAATGCCGCTCCAGACGAAAGATCAGCCACAACAGAACTCCGGCAAACATCAAGAGACCCATGAAAGCGAACCAAACACTCGGCATGAAGGGCTCCAGGAAAACGGCAGCCTTGATTCCGGCATTGTGGGGGGTCCGAAACATGCAGACGGCTCGGAACTGAGCCTGTTCCGTCATGGGATGGACATAGTGGAGTCGATTCCAGGATGGCACAAAGGGAGTAGTACAAATTTCAGCGGATTCATTGACAAGCATTCCAATGGCTCCACCAAAGGCATCCTGGACACTCCAAGTGCCACACCACATGTAGTGCATTCTGTTTTAATTTTTAATTTTAGTTAAAATTTTAAAAAATTCCATGATTTATTTTTATAACTCACTTGAATCCCAAGACCTCCTGACAGTGAAGGATAAGTCTGTAGCCAATACGGGAAATGGAGTCCATGTGGGAGTCTCTATCGCTGTTAAGAAACTCTAGGAGAGCCTCCTCACTGGAGTTAATGGGCAACACGGAGACCTTTAAGTCACTAAATAAGATTAATCTCATTTCATATTAAAGAGATTTTATTACCAAAGCAGCCAAACGGAAGGTAATGTTCGATAAATCCGTTCGATGCTGCAGTCTAGAGCCCAGGTGCAAATCACTTAGGTAATCCCTCACCTGGCAGAGACTTGGATTGCACTGGAGACTCCGGTCGATGGTGACATTGAGCTGCCCGCCTAAGTGGCTTCCCTTGTTGTAGACATCGCGGAGAACAAAAGTGTCCTGGGCCTCTTCCTGGCGACTGGCATGGGTTACGTCGGCGTTCAGACTGAGATTGGCATTCTGGAAAAGTTGGCTTAGTTTGGTCAAATTACCAGCCTCGTCGTAAAGCAGCCAGTGAAGATTTTGATTATAAAGACGAGCTCGACTGGACTACATATCCAAATAAATAATTAAATAAAAAAAGACATAACTATTGATTGTAGAAACCCACCTGGTTGGTAACTGACTCTGCCATTTCGCAGCCCAAATCCAAAAAGACACCCAACTTGGGCAACTCACTGTCCAAGTAGTCCTTGTGTATGTTGGCCAGGTTCTCGGGGTCCTGTTGCAGGTCAATGAATTGCGCATAAATACTGTTCTCCGACAACAATTTGGCCAAAGGATATGCCTCTAAAATGTGTATTTAATATGTGTAATCCCACTGGGTATAAAAATTCTCACCCCTAGGCGACCAGCAATGAAATACCATTGCACTCCTCAGATTGATTTCCAAAAGATTGAATACAATCAGTCGATACAACGGTAAGTTTGTCATCTTGGCTGAGACTTTTTGGCCATTTTGAGCAGTCGTGCAAGGCTTTTATAGCCCAAAATCCAGACGTCAAGCAAGGCCAATTAAGTCATTAGAATCAAAAATTTTGGGGGCATTTATTTGGATTGACAGGCCAGTCAAATTTTGGGGGAAGTCACCCTGCCAAACGCCTTCCTGCCAAAAAATGTCCATGCAAGTGCAACAGGTGGCAGTTTGGCGAGGCGCCTGCGTAGAATCCGGTAACGTAAACAAAATTGCAAGTCGGAATTATGAATGAAAGAATGTCCCCTACTTTGGGTTGTGTTAATGGATTTCTCTGCCGGGGGTTGGAATGGTTGTCAGGATGGCAGGTCAGGACAGTGCCGCAGGCTATAGTGATTTTGCGCCTTTGCATGTCCTGCCCCATACATGATGCTGGCCCATTTCACCCCACAACACCCACCAGCTACCGCCCAAGCCAAGCTGCCCCAAAACGCTGCACAATTCAATCTTCTGGCCTGGTCTCAATATCGTTTCGGTTCAGTCTGCGTTGCGCGCTTGGCGCGTTTTGACGTATCTTTGTATCTTCGCTTTGTATCTTGGCCCGCCGCTGGGAATCCGTCAACTTCCCGTTTCAGTTTCGTTCGATTCGGTTTGTTTTCGCCTTGGTTGGACTGTTAGTTTGTTTATTTTCGCCGAGATTTGTGTGTATTTTTTGGATACAATTCCACCAGCAACGGCTGAAAAAATACAGATGAAATTAAGTATGCGGAGTTGCCAAAAATATAGTGATACAAAATAATTAATTCTAAACAAATCAATAAATAAAAAAAATAATAGAAGAGTTTTCATAAAATTGCATATATATTTTAACCAAGAAATGTGTTTGGAAATTGAAATTCTACAAATGGAATAAATAAATAGAAGAGTTTTATAAATATTTGTTTTAAATTTATATAATCAATTAATCGAGTCTCTAAGAAAACACAATAATTTATAAAATTCAGTTATGTAATACATCACTTATACCGTATAACCATTATGCCAAGGTTTTTTTGGCCAAGAATCGTTCAACAAAGCCACTAAGGCGTATACGTAATTTCGAGAAGCCCACAAATCTGTGTTTTTCGCGCAAACATAAAATCGTTTGTCTCTCCACTCAATTCAAAGATTCGGCCTCTAATTGAACTGTCAAATCCTAATTATCCCCCACCCCCAGTCCCCTAAATAGAAAGCCAATTAAACTGTCTAAATCAACTTAATTAACACGGCTTGAATGTCCATTTTCAAATAGAATATTTATGTAGAAACTTGGCTGAACAACAAACTGAGATAACATCTGTAAAACGAAATTGTTTTATAAATAAGATAAATAAACTTTCGCTAAAAATCGCTGGCGAAAAAAAAAAAGTGAAAATCAATTGAAATGTGGTCAGCTGCAATGGGCCAATAAAACGGGCCAGAATAAAAACCACAAATCTGACAAAATATGACATTTCCAACAATTACAACTACAACATCATAGCGCTATATTAAGTGCAAATAAAATGCAATTATCGCTGATTTAAACGGGCATTAGAGAATCATAAATTTTCCATGAAAACCAAATTGCCGCAGGACGCAGGACGAGTGCAAAAAATAATTCACCAGAGGATACTGGTCAACCAGTGATTGAAAAAAAATTGTAATATTTAAATAACTGATTGAAAATCAGTGTCTCCAGGCCCTCTAAATACAGTTTATAAAATTCCCTTTTTTATGAAAGTATAAAAATAATTAAAAAATTTGATCCCATTTATGCTAATGTATGGTTTGAAAGGCTCTAACTTGACCAAGAAATTATTTGTCCAGATTCATTATCGCATAGTTTTAGAGGCCGAAAGTAGAAAAAGCAGCTTAACGCGTCTCAGCAATTTTTTTCAGGCAAGTTTTCTGCTTTCGTGCCTTTCAAAGGTCCTCAGCTTTTCATTCAGTTTTTTCTGCATCTTTTTTTTCTGCTGTTTTTTGTTTTGAGATTCAGATTTTGTTCGTTGGCGCCGCTTCAGGTTACAAAACATCTCTCGAATAGAAAAATGCAAAGGCACCCAAAAGCAGCAAATGCAGCAACAACATGGACATCGCACTCTCGAGATTTACATTGTAAAGTGATCCTATATACATAGTATACTATATGGTACAAGCTCACCCCGAAAAAAGTAAATAAATTCTTGCATTTAAATTAATTGAATTTGGGTAGATTCTTTTTGGTTGGTCGTTTGGTAGCCTGTCTATATAGCCGCCTAACGTTTCCTTCCATTGCCGTTCTATTGCTCTTATTGAATTGGTTTGGGGATTTGTCGGTTGACCCACAAGTCAAGATTGTGGCACGTCTGTTGAGGCAGGGCCACCCCTTTACAGTCCTCATACCCAGTTTAGTTAAGCGTCCTCCGGATGCGTCTTCTGTGTGTCATTATTTCAACCGAGGGGTTGCTGAGGACAAAGTGCCGGGGGTAATACTGCTTTTGCTGCTGCGTTTGGCTTTCCATTTTCCATCATTTTTGTGTTTTTTTTTTTTTTGTACATGGTCTCGTTACCAGTAGTTGTAGTAGAGGTCTACCCACTAAGCCCACTGCATTTGTGTTCATTAAATTTGCAAGTAAGTTGAAATGTTTTTGTTTACCTCGAGAACTGCCCTTGTTGGGCCTACAACTGGCCCAACATTCCAAATGGAATGTTTGAAAATTAAACATGACTAAAAACCAATATAGACTTTTTAGATTAGGGGTAGTCATTGTTTGACTTCCAGGAAATCTTAGAGAATCAAAAATATCTTTTTATTAAGGTCAAGAATCATAAGTTAATTACAAATTACCTCTAAAAACAAAAATGCCTCTACAAGAATATCATTATAGATTTAAAGCTCCCATTTCCTCGATATCTGTAAACTGAACAAGGGAACCCACTTAGCAGAGACAAGTGCAAACATTTGTGCATTATAATGCCGGGGAAGAGAGTGATTCAGTTGCATTTCACGCTTCCCTAATCCTCGCCAGAGCTCCGTTCGGTAAACATTTCCGCCGAACGTGAGTCCGTTAGGGATCTGTGAAGCCAGGGGCTAGAAGGGAGCCAGAATTCCGGAGACTGGGACGAAGGCACGTGCCTGTCGCTCAGCAGTAAAATAATTAGAACAATTGCATTGGCCCGGGGCCATGAACTGACCGCAGATGCGGAACCGAAAATTTTTGACTTTGCATTTAATTAAATTGCGATTTTAAGTCTACTTAGGTTAACTAGAAAACTTGCGGCCAAAATGGAATGGACTTGAAAGAATGACTCTATTTTATATGCATCGTTGAGACGCATCAGTTATTTGGGAAAAGGAGTAGCAAGAAAATGGTATATAATAATGCCAGCAGTTGCTTCCGATTTACTATATAAACCACCTGCTGCAAATTTCTTATGCTGGGTTTCAAAATATGGAAAGAAAATCCCATAATGCACCAATAGACACCAGATGTTTGGCACATCAACAAAATATGAGACGCTTTTTGACTGTTGGTATGGGTATATGTACTCTTCTCTTAAATGTTGGCAATGGTGTAGATTCTACATACTTTAATAAAAATTTATAGTCAAATTTATACAAAGCTACCTTAAGAACACACCTTGAATTATTAAGATACCTTTGAAAAATTATAAAAATATAAACTTTCATCAAATGACAATCAATCATGGCAAATTGCGTGATGTAACCTCAACGCCTTGCTTGCATCCTAACAATGTATAATAGTACCACCAAAAAAAGGACGAAAAAAAAACAAAAATAAATATTCCTTAGCCGGAAAGAGGCAGCTGAAAGGAGACAGGACATTCAGCAGCCTTCAAAAATTGAGTGCAATTTCGACGTTGATGAGAAAATGCGTTGAACGTGCTCAAGATGTCCTTTGGCAAAACCTACGAGAAAGGCAAGAGTGTGTGGGTGTGTGGGTGTGTGTTGTTGTGGGTGTGAAGGATAGCGTGTGTATGTGGGGATTCCCACAGTTTAATTTAACCCGTTCGCAGCAGTTAACAAAAGGCGGTTAAGGAAAAGGCAGAGGCTAAACCAGAATTTATAAGCCAAGGGCTATGGGATTGAAAATCAGAGACTTGTGGATATTTCATGAAAAAAAGATCAATGATTTATTAGACAATTTTAAGGGATAATATTCGTATTTAGTTATAAATAATTTATTGATTTAAACTACTAGAGTCTCCAGGTTTTTGTTCGTATGAAATCGACTTAAAATAATGCGAATTTCCTTGAAAACAGTCTGAGAAGCAAACCAGGCCATAATTAGCTAAGCCAGCTAGGGCCAGCTAAACCAAACTAAGACAACTAAGGCCTAATCAAGTGGCAAGTAGGCATTGACGTCGAGGCTGACGCTGCAGCTGCCACCAGCTGGTTGCACGAGATGCTCCACCAACGATATCAGACGGCCGACTTGAAGGCAATAGTCAAGGAGCTGTGGGCCCACTTGAAAGTATCGAAAACCGTTATCGCATCCGGATGCCGATCCGGATGTGGTTATGGCCCGGCTGGCATGCTGGCCAGGATGCCGGCATTGGCCATGCATAAAATTAGGTTAGTGGGTGAGATATAATTAAGTTATGGGGTCACCCGATTTTTTTTTCTTGGGTTTTTTTTTTTCACATAATGAGATGTTGTCTTGCCCAAGGCTGGCTAGGTGTCCAGGCGTTAGGTGCATTATTCACTCAAAGCCTTTAGCTTTTCAGCATCGTTTTTCATTAAAGAATCGCTTGGCCCGAGAGCTGCATCGGATTCCGATTCCCCGGCATACATATTTGCACTTCATAATTTGCCATCATTAAGCCAAAGTTCAGCCAAGATTAATACTCAACCAAGTTATGAAGTTACCGCACTTTTAAAGCTCCTGTCTTTTGTTTTTTTCGCAAAGAGTAGTGGCTCATTAATCTTTGCCGTGGTTAAGATTACGTATACGCCGTGTGGTTGTAGGAAAAGGTGGAAAAAAGTCGTTAAATGTGTAATTTAAAGTGACTTGGTTTAAAGTATTTAAGTAAAACATGTAAAAAATTAAAACTCCGAACTAAAATCTTCAAAATAATCTAGTTACCATAATATAAAACATGCTTAAAAGATCAAACACGTCGTAAAAAATTTAATAATATTAAAAAATAAAATAATGTTTGGTTTTCCTCTATTTTGAAAATAATCTTTAGCTCAAAAGGGAAAAATTACATATACGCCAAGTGAAAACCACTCTAACATCTGATTAAAAATTGGTTAAAAAAAATATCAACAAACCATGATTGTGAAAAATTAATAATATAACGTATACGCCATGTGTTTCGTATTATAATCTGATATCTGTAATTTTATAAAAATTAGTGCAATTGAGTGAAAATAGACAAATTAAAAAATATTCAAGCAAATAACTAATAATTACTATTAGTTTGGAAGTAAATTTTACATTGGTAAGCGAATATTACGTATACGCCTAGTTTCTGAACGAATTATTCGAGATAAATTGTGATTTTAAGTGAAATTAAATAAATTCTCTGCAATCTTAATAGCTCAAAACATATAACTCATAACTGAATAATGCCAGTGGCTAATTGGCCAATCAAAAACTGCCAACTGCCAAAGCAGCTAGTTCTAGCAATTAAAAGAATCCAAAGAAACTCAACGGCCAGGCAAACAGAAAGGCCAAGACAAACGGAACTAATGCCTGCCAGAAAGAGGAATCTCAGAAATTAAGAAGACGACTGCTGTCGTGGATACGAGTGCAACTTCCGGTGCATAAATGAAAATAAATACGACTAGCAAAGGCAAACAAACACAGAGACACAGCCATAGCCACAGCCCAGGATAAGGCCAAGAGGAGCACTGTCAGCAGCAGAAATGGCTCTAGAAATGGCAATTCGAATGGGTATGGGCGTGGACTTGGGTATGGGAATGGGTATGGCAATGAAAATGAGAATGAAAATGAAAATGGGAGCCAGGAGCCAGTTGGAGCGACAAATGTTGGACAAACGGATGTGCAGATTAGACCAGCAACAACAGGAGCAAAAGACTTGGCCATCAGACGACTAAACAATAGTTCCCAGCAAACAAACAACAAACAAAACCGAACAATATGTGCACAACAACAACATCAGCATCAACAACAGTTGTATCCGGCTCCGGCGATGCATCAACTGACCCCATCGACCAGTGGATGGAGAGGGTCGAAGGGGGCGATAGCCAAAGGAGCAGCTGGCCACAATCCTGGCACCGAGGACAACGCTTAAACTTGCGCATATTTAAACTTTTGATTAGCTCCTGCGTTTTAATGCTCTGCATTTACACAAATGCCTGGCACTTGTCCATCAGACCAGGGCAGGGTTCCGGATCCGGATCCGGATGGGTGATGGCCAGCAGCATTAAGGGGCGTGGCGATGCCTATCGCCTGGACGAGATAGACTCCCTGTCGCACACCTCATCGTCCTCCAGGCTCTCACAGAACAACAACCACGCAAATATATCCGAATTGCTGGATAATTTGTTGCGTGGTTATGATAATAGCGTACGGCCAGGATTCGGTGGTAAGTATCTTTATTTTATTTATGCACAAAAAATTTATGTAGCTTAATACAAAACTAATATACCCATCGAGTGAGGCATTCCGCGTACGCATTGAATGAATATATGCGCCTCTGTGGGCCATATTGGCGCTTTCTGCACTTTTAAGGATTCTTTAAGGCCATCTCTGTGGGCCATATTGGGTTTTTCTGCATTTTTAAGGATTTTGAAGGGGACCCCCAAGAAAGTTTTGGAAAAAATCTGAAAAATATTTTGTTGCCAGGTTTTTGATGCAGATTTGTGAAGAATCCATCTAAAAATCATTTAAGGTATTCCGCATAAGAATCGGATCAATATCGAAAAAGTTATGGCCATCTCTGTGGGCCATATTGGGGTTTTCTGCATTTTTAAGGATTTTGAAGCGGACCCCATAGAAAAGTTTGGAAAAAATCTGAAAAATATTTTGTTCCCAGGTTTTGATGCAGATTTGTGAAGAATCCATCTACAAATCATTTAAGGTATTCCGCATAAGAATAGGATCAATATCGAAAAAGTTATGGCCATCTCTGTGGGCCATATTGGGGTTTTCTGCATTTTTAAGGATTTTGAAGGGGACCCCATAGAAAAGTTTGGAAAAAATCTGAAAAATATTTTGTTCCCAGGTTTTGATGCAGATTTGTGGAGAATCCATCTACAAATCATTTAAGGTATTCCGCATAAGAATCGGATCAATATCGAAAAAGTTATGGCCATCTCTGTGGGCCATATTGGGGTTTTCTGCATTTTTAAGGATTTTGAAGGGGACCCCATAGAAAAGTTTGGAAAAAATCTGAAAAATATTTTGTTCCCAGGTTTTGATGCAGATTTGTGAAGAATCCATCCACAAATCATTTAAGGTATTCCGCTTAGGAATCGGATCAATATCGAAAAAGATATGGCCATCTCTGTGGGCCATATTCGGTTTTTCTGCATTTTTAGGGATTTTGAAGGGGACCCCATAGAAAAGTTTGGAAAAAATCTGAAAAATATTTTGTTGCCAGGTTTTGATGCAGATTTGTGAAGAATCCATCTTCAAATCATTTAAGGTATTCCGCTTAGGAATCGGATCAATATCGAAAAAGATATGGCCATCTCTGTGGGCCATATTCGGTTTTTCTGCATTTTTAACGATTTTGAAGGGGACCCCATAGAAAAGTTTGGAAAAAATCTGAAAAATATTTTGTTGCCAGGTTTTTGATGCAGATTTGTGAAGAATCCATCTAAAAATCATTTAAGGTATTCCGCATAAGAGACGGATCAATTTCGAAAATGTTATGGCCATCTCCGTGGGCCATATTGGGGTTTTCTGCATTTTTAGGGATTTTGAAGGGGACCCCCTAGAAAGTTTTGGAAAAAATCTGAAAAATATTTTGTTCCTAGGTTTTGTTGCAGATTTGTGAATAATTCATTTACAAATCATTTCGCTGTAAAATCGGGTGCGAATTGTGGAAAATATAGACATGGTTAAGAGCCATTTATGGAAAGCCTCGTTTTTGGAGGGGATGTAATCAGAGGCTCGCAGATTTTCCGCCAAAGGGAAGTATTAAGTGAAGCGGAAATTGCTGTCAGGAGACAAATCACTCACAGACGACTCCAAGGCGATGATGGCCCTCACGTGGTGATTGCCAACAAATATTTACCTACAACATTTAAACATCAAGGTGAACTGGCAATGCGTGGGCAATGCGATTTCGTGGCACTCTCAGATTGGTTGAACCAATAAAAATTTAAATATTTTTGGCATTTAAAATGCCATTTACTCACTTATTGGATGGCGAAGGAGATGAAGACTTAACGCGATTTTGGTTACTGTGGTGAGATATATAATACATATATTCGTCCTAGGGCTTAAGACCAAATTACATTGTTTTTAACACTTCATTAAGAATGGGCGCGTTACTCCCCCATCCGCTATCCTCCATCGTCATCCGGTTACCCGGCTGGAGAGGATTCAAAGGATACGTGGTGATGCGCATCCGCATCCTGCGAACGCGACGCATGTTTGCCAAGCGAGCTCAGCAGCAAAGTCATTAAAAACTGTTCGCATAGGCAAAATACAAAAAAATTCCCTGGCACCCAGGGGGTGTTCGAGTAGGTAGGCGGGGCTCTAGGGCCTGAAAAATTGCATATTAGTGCAGAAAAGCTAGATATAGGGGGGATGGGGAGGATGGCTTTTAGATTCCGGCGGTTTGGGAGCGTCTGCCAAGCGGCTTAAGTGTCATTGTTCACACAGAGGAGCATTTAACATTTTCATTTAGTGCCTGCGACTGGCATATGAATATTCATAGTTGAACAAAAACCGATACGTTTAGAGTACTAGGATTATAAAGTTGGGTAGCCTGGCCTTCAACCCAAAAGATATCATTTTGTTCATAACTTGGCAGGGCTTTCGTAGTGACTTCTAGTGACCGACTTTTCTAAATCATTGACTTAATTGGCTTTGAATTATATTTTAAGGACCACCCGCCACAGTGGAAGTCGATATAATGGTTCGTAGCATGGGACCAATATCCGAAATGGATATGGTAAGTATCTCTCCACCACTTTCAATTCAATTTATTGTGAGCCAAAATCTCTGTCACCTCCTCCTTCTTGTCCTTTGCAGACCTACTCGATGGACTGTTACTTTCGACAATCCTGGGTGGATAAACGTCTCGCGTTCGAGGGCGCCCAGGATACGCTGGCACTGAGCATCTCGATGCTGGGAAGGATATGGAAGCCGGATACGTACTTTTACAATGGCAAGCAGAGCTATTTACACACGATTACCACGCCAAATAAGTTTGTGCGGATCTATCAGAATGGACGGGTGCTCTACTCCAGCCGTCTGACAATAAAAGCCGGTTGCCCAATGAATCTGGCCGATTTTCCCATGGACATACAAAAGTGTCCCCTGAAATTTGGTTCATGTGAGTACAGAATACATATCTATGTATTGTCTATATGTAGTATAGTGGCAAGTGTCGTGTCGTATGTGGGATGTGGAACGCGGCATTGCATTGTGCTTTGGCATAATTATGCATAATTGCTGCTCATCATAGGGCTTTGATGTGATTTCCATCTGCCATTGTCCGTTGCCTTGTTAGCCACTTATTTTCCTCCGAGGACAAAGGCAAGGATCTCTGAATGGCATCGTAATGCAGGCTGGAAAAAAACCAATACTTTTATTTTAAAATTATTTATTAATTGTTTGCTGGAAACATGAGTACATAATTTTTATATCATAGGGCATTTAAAATGTAAAATATTACTAAAAATGGAACAATGGTACTATCTAGTTTTCCGATTCCATTCTCTGGATGGATAAATTTAATTCGTTTCATGCAAGGACACCCATTTAAATCCTTATAGATCTTCTCCGCTTCAATGCAAGTTTGACATCTAATCGGTATACGCGTTTCAACTAAAGGCTGGCAGCCCAATAATGGTGACCATACACAGCATATTTTAAATTCCATATCTGTTAATTCAATACTTTAGAATATATTAATAATATTATTCATTTATAAAACATACCACTTATGGTTATTTCGTCTGGTACGCAAACACTCAAGTTGGTCGTTTTTATTGGTGCATCCCGAAGTCGGTGTAGTGGCTTGTACCCGCTGGGTTTTAGGCGATTTACGCAACTGTATCCCGATTGTCCAATTATACATTCATCTTTAAAATGTTGTCGGCAATCTATACAGTACTTCACTTTTTCAGGGGTATTTGTGGAATGATGGGTTCCAGGACTGCGAATTTCATCACATCCCATTGCGACTAATATAAGTGTAGCAGCTACGTAAAATACTAGCATTTTTTTTTTGTTTTATTTTATTTGTGAACCTAAAATTTTATTTCTAGAGTGATTACTACTGCCTACTGATACCTCAGATTTCAGACCTTTTCCAACCAACTTCCTTTGCAGCTTATCGCAATCGAACCAGCTCCTTTCGTTCCCTTCGAAATGTATTATTATTTCCGATTTTTGTAAATAAAGCTGGATGCAGCCAGAAATTCAATTACCCCCCGGCTCCGGCTGCCACTTTTATTGCCTGCCACTTAATGTTGACAATTTCCCATTTGATGGGATGCGAGGCAGCTGAAAATATTGCCAAAGTCAGCGACTGGCAAACAGCAAAGAACGAGGCAAGTGGGCTTTGGGGGTCTATGAATATATTTGGGGGGGTGGGCGAAATACGTAAACCCATCCATTCTAAAGCCCACAGATGGCGCAATGTTTGTCAATTTGTGCATTTTGAAGTAGCGACAGCAAAATAAACAAACTGAGCACACGTGGGGAGTGGATTGGGACTCGTTAGTGGGATTACTAGACCTGGTAAATGATGGAGAAGACAGTGCTACGGGGGTTACCAATATAGGAGTATGACACCTTCTTAAAAACGGTCGATTTCTTAAAATAATCTCCTGTAAAGTATTTTAGAGAATAGTACCTCTCAGGGACGTTTATAGTCCTAAAACATAAACAAGCCTTACATAATCCAAAGCTTAGTACCACTGCTAGTACCACCCTCTTAATTGAAATTTTCACTAAATAACAAATCGAATTTTCTTCTAAATAAAAAAAAAAAATAAACAAATAATGGACACAGTTGGATACACCACGTCGGATGTCATCTATCGCTGGAACAAAGAACGACCCGCCGTGGCCATTGCCGAGGACATGAAGCTCTCCCAATTCGATTTGGTCGATTGTCCTGCCGGCAATTTGACGGACATTGTGTACAAGGCGTCCTCCATGATGCCGGACGACCCAGATCACCCCAACGACCAAAGACCGCGTCCCACCAGTAAAGTTGTGACCACATTCGCCGGACCCGCTGCCAAGAATCAGCATATTCGCGGCACTGGAATCAAGCTGGACAAAGGAGCCTTTGGCACTGGACGTGATGCCGCAGGTGGTGCCGTGCCCGGTAACAATATTGGGGGCACCATCACCCTGGAGACCAATCATCCTTGTAAGTGATTTATGTTTTTGTTTTCTATTCTTTATTCTAATCTGGTTTTTGTTCTAGTGGAGTACTCCATGTTGCTGGTAAACTTTCACCTTCAGCGTCACATGGGAAACTTCCTCATCCAGGTGTATGGACCCTGTTGCCTCCTGGTGGTTCTTAGCTGGGTGTCTTTTTGGCTAAATCGTGAGGCCACCTCTGACCGGGTTTCCCTGGGCATTACCACGGTGCTGACCATGACCTTCCTGGGCCTGGAGGCACGCACCGACCTGCCAAAGGTGTCCTATCCCACGGCTCTGGACTTCTTTGTGTTCCTCTCGTTTGCCTTCATCTTCGCCACGATCCTCCAGTTCGCCGTGGTGCACTATTTCACCAAATACGGGTCCGGGGAGGCCTACTTTCTGGAAAACCTGGAACCGGAACCGCAGGGAAAGGATTCGGAGACGGAGGGTCCTACGCCGGATCTCCGTGGCAGCACCGAGGACAAGATCTACGAGGTCATACCACTGTCCACGTGTTCGATAAATATACCTCACTCGGCGGCCAGCAGCCGCTTCAGCATTCCGGGCTCCCAACTTCGCGGACCCCGGAATCGACGCCACGATACGTGGACGGAGAGGCTGCTCCATTTCTTTGGCTGGCGGCCAAAGAGCCGACCACCTCGTGTAAACTTCTCCTCAGACGAGGACGAGGACGACGAGGAGACGCAGTTCAGAATCGACGACGACGGTCCATCCACATCCGCTCAAGCGGCGGCCAAGGCTGCGGCAGCCGCTGAGGCAGCGGCGGCGAAAGCAGCAGCAAAGGTGGCTGAAAAAGCCAAGGCGGAAGAACGGAGCAGTCCGCCGCCGAAGGGGCGACGGCGGATGTCCTCCTATCGACGGGAGGAGATCGAAGCCCGGAAAACCGGAAAGCGGGTACCGCAGTTCAACTCCGTCTCAAAGATAGACCGCATCTCGAGGATCGTCTTCCCACTGCTGTTCCTGCTTATCAACGTGATCTACTGGTATTGCTACCTGTCGCGGAGCTCGCGAATTCTGGCCAATACGCCGGACGCGAGCACCTGATGTTACCTTTTAGCAATTTAGACAGAGTCCTCGAAGAAACCAGTAAGCGATCGCCGGCAGCGAACAGACAACTAAGAGCTAGAGATGGCCAACGAATAACATCAAGGAAACAAAAATCAACAAGGAAAGGTGCAGGATTTTGGAGGATTTGCAGAGAAGGGATTTATCTTTTCCGATTCAGATTCCGATTCAGTTATGCTCTTTTTACTGATTTGCTACCAAACACGATAACGCTTTATGGGATTTCTTTGCGCGCTAAATTGCTAAAGTATATCAAAAACAGATCTCAAATCTAACATATCAGAGGACTTGCTATATCGGGCACTCCTGGATATATATCTTGTTCATAAATCCAAGCCAGGAACTATTGAAAAAATGTAGAAAAGTTCATTAAATTTTTGAAAATTTAAATAATTAGTAATCTAATACTAGATATATATCTGGGAGTGTCCTTTCTAATTTGTACAGTTAGCCAATAAGTTAATGGGTTGCTTTTTTATGTGTAATTTAAAATGTTAATGTTAATTTAAAGAGCACAAAAACAATTGCAATTAGTTGATGAGTATATTTAGTTTGCTGCAAAAATGAACTTTTCACGTGGGATCACCAATAAGTAGGAGATTTTTTAGGAAAATGCCGTCTCTGGTTTTGACGAAATATTTTAATAAGACAACCAGCCTATATTATTAAGCCTGATCAAATACAAACGTAGGGGGTGCATGAAATAAATTGAAAATCTAAAAAATTATTGGGCCTAAAACTATTACTTAATTTTAATCATAATAAGTAATATAGCTAAAGATTACTATTATTTTATTGATGGGCTTTAGACCCCATGATTTTTCACCCCCTACCACAAAGAATAGTGTTACTTGCCGGCGGATATAAAATATTTACAACTATGTGCGAAAACAGACACAAAGCCAAGTACATATAATAAAAGTCAGAATTACAAAAATGATTACAAACTGATAGTTGTTCTGGGCAAAAGGGCCTTGTTTCTGGCTCACAAGTGGGTCAATAGATCGCCCAGTCGGGGCAGATAAACATCTGGCTGTGGAAGCTTTTCTTTTTCCTGTAGGACAGCCGAGAGATTACTGTAACGACCAGTGCCCACCAGGAGCGACAACATCCCACAGTTTCTGGCGAAGCCGACATCTATTTTGAGGCTGAAAGAGGAGGACATCTCATTAAGGGAGCCATGAATGGATGTGTTAATCCCGCTTACCAGTCGCCAATCATAAGTGTGCGTTCCGGACGCAGTGCTTCGGATTCAATCAGCGACTCAAGGACCAAAGGATTTGGCTTCCCCATCTCGAGGGCCTCTCGCTCCGAGCAAGCCTCAATTCCGGACACAAAGGCGGCGGTGCCGGGTATACAGAAGCTGGGATACTTATGGACTGCATCGCGATTGGTCACCAGAAACGCAGAGTCCGGATTGCTGCAGAGGATGTTGCAGGCGCGGGCCATCTTGCAGTAACTAAAGTACTCATCCCAGCCAACAACAACGGCGCCCACGTCCTTAACCGCCTCCGGGTTACCAAACTCGCGAGCCGCAAAGTCCTGCCATTTATCGCCCGGAGTGAGTTCGTCCGGTTGGCCGGCTCCGTAGCTGTCGATTCCGTGTGCTTTTAATTCCCGTGCAATGGCCGCATTACCCACCACATAGACCTTGTGTCGGGCTTTGTCGAACTCGGTTCGCTGGCCAAGATAGTCCACAATGGCGGTGGTGGGCGAGATGATGTGCTGCTCACTTGGCAGCTGGAAGCCCAATCGCCGGGAGCGCTCGAAGAGCTCTTGGCGCGTCTTCAGTCCATTGTTGGTGATAAAGTAGACCCTCTTGCCCAGTCGCTGCTGCAGGGCGTTTACCACCTCCACGGCGCCCTCAATGGCCGTGTCATCTTGCCAAATGGTTCCTAAACGTAAATTGACATTTAATGGCGGCTTAAATTAAGGGGGATTTAAAGGATTTGTTTCTTTTTTGGGAAAACATATTTAAAGGAGGGTTTTTTTTAGAAAAATAACTTGAAAAAATCATCATTACACATTACCTGTGTAATAGGTTAAGTAATGACTAAATACTTAAAAAATAATAATAATAAAAAGACATTTTTGGAAATTTAGTATTTTCTTCAACAAGCTTGGACTTTTCTTCATGAAATATTATTCTCCATATTATTGTGTTATATTATTTTGAATATAATACTTTTATTGATTTGGTTGTAAAAAGCTCCAATACTATAAGAAAAGATATTCTTTATCCAAAGCCTCTTAGCCACTATCCACTGTAAGTATCCCCCACTGCAAGTGGCCTGACAACTCTGGCGAAAGCTATAAATTTGTGAGCACTCTCCATCTCTGTCATACCCCATGCCCCCATCCCGCCGCCCGTTGCTTCAACTCACCGTCGCCGTCGCAGAGAACAGTGTCGAAGCTTTGGAGCCACTCGCTCACCTGCTCCCTGGACAAATCCGACAAGGTGATAACGCCGCCTCTGGACATTTTGCAGCTGTAAACGCTCCGCTCGGGCAAATGTTTGCGACTCGACTAAAACGGCGGGCGGGCTGGCGATTTCAATTCACGATGATTGCGCTATCTCCCTCGCTCCCCAGACCACAAAAAAAAATTTAATAAATATTGGTGGGAAAGTTCAAACGTGTGCCATGGGTACATCGATTTCGACATCAATATTGTAACACTGCCACAAAATGGTGGTGCATTTATTTGAATATTGGTATGTCATACGGCATTGTAAATTGTACTATAAATTTATGATAGGTATTCTGAAGCTGTCCTGTCTATTTCCGGAAAATGTATGGGGTAAAGTAAAGCCTCCATTAAGAACAAACACTTGTCCATGCTGCATACTGTGTGTCCAGGTTGATCAATGAATGGTGCCCGATCGGCTGTTGGCGAACGAGGGCAGTAGGTCACCCAATTTCGGCAGGTACACATCAGGTATGAGTTTCTTGTCCTCCGGATTCTTGCTCTGCCTCCATTGTTCAACGTCCGACAGCTGATGGATGCCGGAGCCGACCAGCAGCGTCTGGAATCCACAATTGTAGCCCAACAGGATGTCCGTGTTGGCCCGATCTCCGATCATCAGAGTCCTTGCGGGATCAATTACATTCTGCTTGATCAAGGCATCGCAAATCGCCGGGTTTGGCTTTCCGATCACGAGTGGTTCCCTCTCCGCACATGTTTGGATGGCTCGGACAAAGCTGCCACTACCGGGCACAATCATGTTCGGCATGGGGAAACGCTCGTCCGTATTGGTGGCCACGAACAGGCAATCCGGGTCATTCAGGTAGGAAGCGGCCTTCATCATCTTGGGGAAACTGAAGTGTTCGTCGAAGCCCACTACCACGGCTCCAATGTCGTTTTCTAGTTTTAAATGCTGGCTCATGTATTCCGCTAGCGAAGCTTTCATGGGATCAGGTCCAATCTGGGTGTGCTTGATGCCCACGGCATCCAGCTCCTGGGTGATGCCCTCGCTTCCGATCACAAACACGCGCTTGTTGAACTTTCGGCGCTTCAAGTAGGACGCCGTGGCATGGGCCGTCGATATGATTCCATTTTCCGTAATATTGAATCCCAACTCGACGCCCTTCTTCAAGAGTTCGGATCTGGTCTTTGTCGAATTGTTGGTACAGAAATAAATATTCTTTCCCGTAGCCTTGAAGGTGTTCATCACATCCACGGAGCCATCAATGGCTTTTCCATAGACCCACAGGACACCTAGGGAAACACAGAATATATGTATCATTAATTGATTATCTATTATGAAAAGGGCATTCAAAAGTCGACAACAAACTTATCACGCACTTCACTCTTTGACATTGAATTACGCTGCGAAGCAACAACAAAGAAATGTATTCGCCAGATGACGTATTTCGGCAGATGCTACACATGGTTATAGATATACATAGGTACACATATCTTTATGTAACCCCACTTCCAGGGCAAATGTCCTTACTCCACCCACTCACCATCGCAATCCGTGATAACAGAATCGAAGCTGGCCAGCCACTCGGTCACCTTGGCGGAGGATAATTCCAGGAGATTGGTGCACGTCTGCTTGTACATATTTAGGGCTGTGTGTCGGGAGCAGGTACCGAAAGTAAATCTCATGTAAAGCTACGATATGACTATTTTCTACACATCACTTTTAATTTATTAATTGGCGAATCTATTAGGTACTTCCCTGAGAACTATAACAGCTGATGGTAATGTAAGCGCACTGTTAGCCATCTGTCAAAAATTAGTTAGTCTGTTAACTACTTGACTGTTAAGTGACACTCTGTTATACCTTTCTGTTGGATAACAGGTGTTTGGCGCTAACTTCAAATCTGCCAAAATCGAGGAAAATAACAAAGAACTTTAAAAAGTCACTTTAACGAAATAATTATGAATGATTCACACATTAATCAGTTTTATACTTTTTTATTGTTGTATTAGGCGCCTATTCACTAAAATTAATTTATTACTTATAGTACAGGCATTTTTTTTGTTGAATCTCAGCTTTCCTTTTTGTTTTAAAACTTTGCTGGAAGAACAAACAATTGCAGAAATAATTGGAAATACTGACCCCAAAATAATTAAAAGTCGATAAGAAAAAAATTGACTGCAAATTAGGGCTTTTGGATGGTGGGGTGCGGTTTAGGTTTGGAATTAAGAGCGAAAATGTATGTTTTGCGTGCTGTTTGTACCATAACTTGCATTAAATAAATCTCATTAAGCTATCGCGAAGGTAAAAAAACGAAAAAGTTGGCTAATTACAAAAATAAACTATGTTACAAATTACAATAATCATAAATTAATAACTAGACACGAAGAATTATCGAGAAAATTGCATTTAGAGGACTGAACTGCACAGGTCCTTTTGCTTCTTTTATATTTTCTGTGTTGACCCTTTGGGGGGCTTCTCCTATTGATGAGAGGTAATAAGCCAAGCCTATTTAGCTAAAGGATCCTGCCTAGAACTGCGACATAAGCAAGCTGCCTCCGCCACTCCCGCTTCCCACGCCTCCGCCACCACCCACACCTCCACCGCCACCACCAGGCCCACCCGGTCCACCGCTCGTTCCCAAAACAGAGCCTAGCAGACCCCCACTAGACATCTGCTGTTGCTGCATTGGAATCTGCTGCTGCTGTTGCTGCATTTGCATAGACGTGGAGAAGCTATTCATGCCACCAACCACTCCAGGACCCATGCTGGCACTCAAACTGGACAGCCCAGGACCGGGACCACCGCCTAATGATCCGAGACTGGTGGCGCCCATGACGCCCGCTCCGCCGCCCAAGCCTGTACCGCCGCCAGGCAGCAGACCTACCCCTGGCTCAGGACTTTGGTTCTTCTTTTTCCGCTTCTTTTCCTTTTTACGCTTCTTGCGCTCCTTATCATCCTCGTGGCGTTTTTGCTTCTTGTGCTTCTTCTCATAAGTCTCAAGGCCTGCCGAATCTGTAAGAGGTTGGAGGGAGGAAACTTTCTCGTAAGTTGAAGCGGGCAGAAAATTGAGTAGCCAACTCACCAAGTAACGTAGATTCCTGTCCCGTGGTTACACCGTCTTTGTGTTTGTGCTTTTTGTGTTTATTTTTGTGTTTTCTCGCAGGTGTGACATATGTGGTACGATACTGTTCGGGCAGCTGCAATGAGATTTGAGCGATAAAATATGCATAGTATGTGTTTTTAGTATATACGCGTGAGTCTTCGCCGATGCATAATTACAATGGGTCTGAATAATCAAAGCTAATATTCTCTGTGCAACTCTTAAATGCAAATAAAATGTTTAATATTCATCAACATACATATATATATATATTTTTTATGGAAGAATAAAAAGGGGGGATGATTACAAGCAAATAATACAAATGTTTTGCCAAAATTCATTATGTTCTGTGAACCATATCCATTTACATGTGCAATTTTAGAAACATTCGTAAAGCAACACAAAGAAAGAAATGAGTGGGCAATAAAGTGAAACCGTGTACAATATTTCGAACCCCATTCCATAACATGTTAACAAATCAGGTGAAAGTATGCCCTAAAGAGAGAGTACATATATAAACCACCCACCGGTCCGGGATGCAGGCGGAAGCCGGCCAACTGCACAGGGGTAAGGGGTAGTAACTCCTTCCCGCCAATCGGTGGCTTTTCGATCACGCTTCGCAGCGTGCTGTTCTCGACAGGATGCGTGATGAGGTCATTGATTCCGGGTATGTTCTGCAGAAACGAGGCCAGCGACTCCTTGAACTTCTTTTCCTTGAACTTGCTCAGAGTGTGGTGCAGTCCGTACTCGGTCATGAGATCCTTGTCGCCGGTTAGCTCTGCCTTTGCGGGTGGCTCTTTCATAGAATAGAACGGCCCCGTGTGGATAATCGTTGGGGTTTTGCCCAGCGATATCGTCGTCTTGAGCGTTCCTGAGGAATCCTGGCGAGCGACCACTGGGGAGCGGCCGCCGCCATGGGGCGATGACTTTGGCGAGTCCATCATAAGGTTGCTCATCATCTTGGCACGAAGGCAACAAAACCAACAAAAACAACAACTGCAACAGCAGCAACAACCACAAGGCCAGAAGAAGGTCTCGCCTTGCGACTCGCTAGAGGGCTGCGCCGCCCTAGCTCACACACTGCAATATGCGCTGCGGCTACACTACACTCGGCCGGATACTGTTCTTAGCCAATTTCAAAATTTTTCTCGGTTTTTGTGGCGTTTTCTAACAGATTTGGGGAGCAAGTCTCGCCATCTTGTTGTGTCCGCGAACCAATGTGACCGCATTGCGAAGGCTAGCGAAAAACTGAGGCTGGGCGCCAAACGCGACGCGGACGCGCTGCAAAAATACCAAAAATGTCCTGGAAAATACCACCGGCGGTGAAAACCGCACAAGGTTGCACTGTACAGTTTCGATTATTAGCTGCATTATAATATTTATGTTTTATTATTGAAATATATATTTTGTCTAATTTACCGCCACATTATAGAGCAAATTTTCAAAATTGTTTTTTTCAAATAGATAAACATCTAAAAGAATTTTCTATGATACTGGATATACGATTTATGTAAAATTACTAAGATATGCTATATTTGAAAATTCAAGCTTTTTTGATAGATTCTAAAAATTGTTTCATTTTTGTATTCCAGGACTTTTTGTAAAAATTATAAATGCATAAAAAAGCCAACGGAAAAACCCCAATACTATCGATTCGCTGGGAGCCAATCATATGCCCGTTATCGCTGCGATTCGCCAGCCCTGCGACCGTTCCGAGCTCCACAACACGAAAAACAGTCAGAAATACACATCAAATTGGTGTTGTGTTTTCAGTTAAATACGAGTAACCTCCTAGCGCGCCGTACTCCGCCACACCAGCCATGCAGTCCACACTTCGACAAGTTGTTTCGTCCGTCGCCAAGGTAGGAAACCGAATCAGCCCATTACCGATTCACCTCCCAAGTTATGCAATCTAACCTCACTGGGGGTCGCCAAATGGATACGAAAAGCCACAAACCGGACGGTAAAAGTGCATCCGATCCGTCCCGTAAGCTCATATGACTCGTGGGTGAATCGCTGGCGTCCGGAGATTTGTTTGGCCATCCGTCAAGGTCGCTAATTGGTACAATTATCAGCTGATACGCGGCCAGAGATTGTGCGAGTTGCGTGCGATTGGCGTGATAAACGCCGTTTGATGACCCACCATCACTCTTATCAACGAAATCCCAGACACTCTATTAACTCACCGTATTTTCAGACACCTCTGCGCTCCAATGCCGCCATTCTTGGTGCCCTGAATGCCCGCTACTACTCCGCCACACACGAGGCTGATATTGTGGTAATTGGCTCCGGACCTGGTGGCTATGTGGCCGCCATCAAGGCCGCCCAGATGGGCATGAAAACTGTCAGTGTGGAAAAGGAGGCTACCCTGGGTGGCACCTGCCTCAACGTTGGCTGCATTCCCTCCAAGGCACTGTTGAACAACTCACACTACTACCACATGGCCCACTCCGGGGATTTGGCTAGTCGTGGCATCAACTGCGGCGAGGTCTCGCTCGATCTGGAGAAGCTCATGGGTCAGAAGACGAATGCTGTAAAGGCCCTCACCGGAGGCATTGCCATGCTCTTCAAGAAGAACAAGGTTACTCAACTGACGGGCTTCGGCAGCATCGTTAATCCCAACGAGGTCCAGGTGAAGAAATCCGACGGCACCACGGAGACTGTTAAAACCAAGAACATCCTGATCGCCACCGGTTCTGAGGTTACACCCTTCCCTGGAATTGATGTGAGTGGCAAAAGAATTCTGCCCTTCGTAGTCTTTTAACTTCTTGGGTATCTTGTTCAGATCGATGAGGAGGTGATTGTCAGCAGCACTGGTGCTTTGAAGCTGGCCAAGGTTCCTAAGCACTTGGTTGTGATCGGTGCCGGTGTTATTGGACTCGAGCTGGGATCGGTGTGGTCGCGTTTGGGCGCCGAGGTGACTGCAGTGGAATTCATGGACACCATTGGTGGTGTTGGCATCGACAATGAGGTCTCCAAGACTTTCCAGAAGATTCTCACCAAGCAGGGTCTCAAGTTTAAGCTGGGAACCAAGGTGACGGCAGCTTCTCGCAGCGGCGATAATGTCACCGTGGCCGTCGAGAACGCCAAGTCCGGTGAGAAGGAGGAGCTGCAGTGCGACGCCCTTCTGGTCAGTGTGGGTCGTCGCCCATACACCGAAGGTCTGGGCCTGGATGCCGTTGGTATTGTTAAGGACGACCGCGGCAGGATTCCCGTCAACGCCACCTTCCAAACGGTGGTGCCCAACATCTATGCCATTGGCGACTGTATTCACGGACCCATGTTGGCGCACAAGGCCGAGGACGAGGGCCTCATTACCATTGAGGGCATCAACGGCGGCCATGTCCATATCGACTACAACTGCGTGCCCAGCGTTGTTTATACGCATCCCGAAGTCGCGTGGGTGGGCAAGTCCGAGGAGCAGCTGAAGCAGGAGGGTGTCGCCTACAAGGTTGGCAAGTTCCCCTTCCTGGCCAACTCCCGTGCTAAGACCAACAACGAGACCGATGGTTTCGTGAAGGTTCTGGCCGACTCAGCCACCGACAAGGTTCTGGGCACCCACATCATTGGACCCGCTGCCGGAGAGCTGATCAACGAGGCCGTGCTGGCTATGGAGTACGGAGCTGCTGCTGAGGATATTGCCCGCGTCTGCCATGCTCATCCGGTAAGAAAAGAGAACTTATAATTTAAAAAAAAATGGTTTTCAAAAATTCTCATATTTTTTAGACCTGCGCTGAAGCTTTGCGTGAAGCCAACGTTGCGGCTGCGTTTGGAAAGCCCATCAACTTCTAAACAATTCTCCACCACCCCTGCCAGCTTTGGAGGTATCTGCACCGCGTTTAGAAATCATTTTTTAAATTCTGCAAAACCCCCAATTTCGAAAATTAATCTGACAGCCGAAGCCGAAAGTCTCCGCATATTTGTAGCTCTTAATGTTGGAAACAGTAAAGTGGAAACTATATTTAATGGAAACGAGCGCCAGGCGTTATTTGAAATGTAATATGTGTATTAAGATAGAATAAAATATACAGTTTGAAACTCAAGTTCTGAGAATGACTTTATACCCTTGAAGAATATTGGTATTTTAAATTTGGCGCCGGAAATGTATCGACCAGGGCGGTCATGGATCTATCGGTTATCGTTAGCGGCTTTTCAAAATTCAAGTGGCAACTCCAGTCGCAGCAGGTCACTGTCAAAATTTCTGTTGGTTTAAGGAAACTAAATATTTTTTGGGGTCTAGTCTCACATTTACAATAAAATACGGTATTAAATCCAACAATTTTTGCCTTAACCTAAGGGGCCCAAAATTTGTAACTATTTGCAATGTTTCGCGTTGGCAAGTTGCGGCGCTACATGGCTGCGGTAGCCAAAGGGGATTCTTGGCTATCCTCATCGAGGAATCGCCTTTCGGTGTCGGGCTCCCAGGTTCAGCGGCGCTGCTTACACTCGAGGAACTACTTGCAGGGAGTATCCAACCGCGTTGCAGGCACGCCCTCGGCCACGGCTCAGTTGGCCAGCATCGGCGGTAGTAAGCAGCAGAAGCCGTCCCATCCAAAATCTCCCGACGGTTTCTCCGAAGGAGTGAGTGCTTAACCTATTAACCCCTCCAAGCTTTATATAACACCTTTGCTTTCTTTGACCAGAAGAACCGTTGGCCGCGCAAGGTTTTCAGCGGAGTCCAGCCCACTGGATCGCTCCACCTGGGAAACTATCTAGGAGCGGTACGGAAATGGGTGGAATTGCAAAATGATCGTGATGATGTTACTATTTGTATTGTGGACTTGCACTCTATCACACTTCCGCATAATCCTCCGGTTCTGCGCGAAAATATCTTTACCATGGCCGCCACCCTACTGTCCTGTGGCATTGATCCTGCCAAGAGCACTCTTTTTGTCCAGTCCAGTGTGCCCGAGCATGCAGAGTTTAACTGGATCCTCAGTTCACTGACCACCATGCCGCGTCTGGCGCAGCTGCCGCAGTTTCGCGAAAAATCGCGCCTAGTTAAGGATGTGCCTTTAGGATTGTACGTGTATCCGGTGCTCCAGGCTGCCGACATTATGCTTTACAAGTAGGTTGCTATCGCGCTTAGACTATTTTGCTATCATACATATTTCCATAACCATCTGTATTTGCGGCACATGTCTTTTTTTCCATTACATAATCACTTTTTTTACACTTCATATTTTATTTCCACAGAGCCACCCATGTTCCCGTTGGCGCCGATCAGTTGCAACACATCCAGTTGGCCCAGCACCTCGCCAGGTCCTACAATACTCGCTACGGTGAAACATTTCCCGTGTGTCAAGCTCTCATAGAGGATAGCAATGCATCGCGCGTGCTATCGCTTCGTGATCCCTCCAAGAAGATGTCCAAGTCAGAGGGCAACCCCAAGGCCACCATTAACCTATGCGATTCGCCCGAAGTGATCATGCAAAAGATTAAAAAGGCTGTCACCGATTTCACCTCGGACATTACCTTCAATCCAACCAAGCGACCCGGAGTCAGCAATTTGGTGAACATCCACGCTCTGGTAACGGATCAGCCAATCAAATCGGTGGTGGATGAGGCGACAACCCTCGACACAGCCAAATACAAGGAGCGGGTGGCAGAGGCGGTTATTGAGCACCTGCGTCCTATCCGGGAGCAGATTCGTCATCACATGGGCAAGCGCAGCGAGCTTACATATCTGTTGGAGGTGGGTGCGGAGAAGGCACGCCAGCAGGCGCAAAGCACGCTGAACGATGTGAAGCAGCGCCTAGGCCTTGGAACAGCCAACAACATTCCAGCGGCAGTGAACGTGGCACCATTGCTGCCGCCGGAAGTGGCAAAAACATCGCCCAGCCGGCTGGTGGCCCAGGAGAATGAGGGAGGCGTCCACGAGCGTCACGAACGAATGTATGGGTTTGGAGATGTTCCGAGCGGTGGACCCGGCCAGTCGGCCACCGGAGAACTGACCGAATTGGGCAGTGCAATGTCCAACCGCACGGTTCTCCGACGCATTCCTGTGGTGCCGACCCAGACTATGCGGGTTGAGAAGGAGCGGGGAAGCTCAAAGCCGCGTCACGTCTTCAAAATGGACAGGTGCAATGCACCCAGCATTGGATTCAAGGCGCCACCTACATTCCCCACCACAATGGTCACTGGTGGGCTAGCTAAGAACAGGCGGCCACCTGCCAGAACTGGAATGGGTTACACCCACACTAGCCAGAATGTGAATCCCAGCGCTGTCTCCACCGTGGCAAGGGAGGTGAACGCTTCGAAGCAACAGGAGTATACCTATAACATGACCAACGGTGGCTACTATAAAACCACTCTCAATGCAAGCGCAAATAGGACGAGCGATAGGGGCATCTCCAAAGACAGGAGCAGTCCCATCGACCGAAGCAGTCCTATTATAAGAATCGAGGAGAGCTCTATCAATTCGATCAGAGAAGCCGAGGCTAGTGCAGAGGACGAGGAGTCGCGAGCTGTGGAGGAGCATCATCATGATGAGCATGCCGAGCATGAAGAGGAAAAGGAAAGGGACTCTGAAGTGGGAGATAAGAGCACCGAGGCTACCAAAGTGGAAATTTAGGACGGGGAAGCATTGCAATTGTTATTAGTGTAGTTAGGTTTAATCGCATATTTTTTGAAAAATCCGTCGTTCACCGTAACTTGGAAGAATGCTTGGAACCCGGCCCAATTGCATTTCCATGGAAAGAGAATCTTTAACCAACAACGAGAAATACAAATTTCTTTATGGGCAAATGTAAAACGGCTAACCCAAATTAATAAATAAAAAAATTGTTGAATTTGTTTATTAATACCAGATAAGATATTCGTGTTTATTGCTTTCAGCTAACTTATTGTACTTTTTGTATAGTTTTTGGTTTCCTATTTTACGGTATGAAGCTTAGTGCATGTTTAAATTACAAAGGTGAGCATATGGGTAATGAGAATTGTATATTAATTAGCTTATTTTTCTTGTATATATGTATAATGCATATAAATATCAAGCATATTTAGGATGAACTATGCATCAATATCAGGGGCACCTCGTTACCGTACTTGGAACTGTCTTGGCCGCTCAACAGGGCAGTGTTGCTGCAGTCCCGCATCATGGCAATGGAATTGTTCCTCTGCTCCCGTTGTCTCAATCGACTGTGACGGATGCCGTAGGACAGGAAGATGGTCAGACCAATGGCGAGCCATATACTAAAGCGCACCCAGGTGAGAATGTCGAGCTTGATCATCAGGTAGATGTTGATCAGAATGGAAATGCCCGGCAGCCAGGGAACCAATGGCACCTTGAAGGACAGCTTTACTCCGGACGTGGGCTGACGCGAGATGATCAGAAGGAGCACAATCAAGGGTATTGTACCCAGTCCCAACTTGAGAACGTCAAAGGAGGTAACACCTGCTATATCCTCCTCGAACTTGGTCAGTATCTGGGAGAAGACCATGCACCAAAGAGCTAAAAAGAAAGGATATCTAAGTATATAGTGTCTTAGTTTTGAGAAACTTTTACTTACAGAACAAAGTAACACTAACGGTGACGATCCTCGAGGTCTGCTTGGTGGGCACTGCCTGTCCATTCAGATTGAACACCCTCCTCCACAGGGCACAGGGCTGATCCTGATCCAGATTCGATACCCGGCCATTGCTCGCAATGCGGCTCTCCCTCCGATCGTCCACCTCATAGCGCAGCATCAGCACACAACTGGCGACCATGGAGTAGGCTAGCAGTGTTCCAATCGACATCATGTTCACCAGCTGGCTCAGATTAAAGATGGCAGCCAGTATGCCCGTAAGGAGACCCGTCAACATGGTGCCCTTGAACGGGGTCTTGTACTTTTCGCTGATGTCTCCCAGGAACCGGAACAGCAGTCCGTCGTTGGACATGGCAAAGACGATCCTCGGCAGCGGGAACATGGCACCCATCATGCTGGAGCAAAGGCCAAACATGGCGCCAATGCTCACCACATATTCCGCCACATGCCAGCCATTGATTCTGAAGACATGGGGTAGAGGAGCCTTCTCGTCCTGCTCAAAATAGGGCAACATCATGGTCAGAACCGAGGAAACACCGAAGTAGGCCAGAAAGATCATAGCCAGGGAGACGATCACAGCAAACGGAATGGATTTCTTGGGGTTCTTGGCCTCCTCTCCGGCAGTGGCGATGCAATCGAAGCCAATAAAGCCATAAAAGCAGACGGCTGCTCCTTTAATAATGCCCGACACGCCGTAGGGCATAAAGCCACCGTTACCATAGCCCTCGGGCACTTCTGACTTGGGTATGGACCAGTTACTGCTGGAAACTGTTAAGAAATATTAATATTTTTTCCTCGAAGCTTATAATAGAAGCTTACCCTTGAAGAGGCCAGCAATGATGACAAACAAAACCACTCCAAGATTCAGCATGGTGAAGACATTGTTCACCCTCGTCGACTCCTTGGCTCCCACGGCAATGGCCAGGGAGAAGAGAATGGTCACCACAAAGGCAAATAGGTCCGGATAGGCGCTCATGCCCTCGATGTTGATGGGCATGTGGGTGCCCAGAAAGGTGCTCATCGGATTGCCGCATAGCTGATCGAGATATGTGCTTAAACCCTTGACGACACTGGCGGAACCTAAAACCAATCAAAATATATAGAAATATGCGATTTTTTGGCAATTAAATCAAATCAATCAGACGGCGGCGAAGTCGTTAATTGATTCGTTTCTAAACTTACCAATGGCGTACTCGAGTATGAGATTCCAGCCGATGAGGAAAGCGATGAACTCGCCAATGGTGACATAGCTGTAGATATATGCCGATCCCGCCTTGGGAACTCGGGCTCCAAACTCCGCATAACAGAGTCCGGCAAATATGGAGGCGATGGCGGCGATTAGGAAACTAATGACCACCGCAGGACCGGCATACTGTTTGGAAACCTCACCAGCCAGGACATAGACACCCACTCCCAGCGTGGATCCAATACCAAGAGCTGTCAGATCAAAGGCTGATAGTACCTTGGCCAGTTTGGATTCATTGGAGTCCTCCAAAGGCTTCTTGCGTGTGAGAACGCGAAAAACATTCGTCACGCTCCAGTTGGGCATTCTGAAACGAGTCCATGGGATATATTTATAAATAGGGCGAGCTTGTATGGTAACTAGGGCTTCTTGCTTAGCCGTGCACTATATAATAACTCGATGTTTACAGAATCGACATATTAACACGTTCGCAATTTGTGGAAAGTGCCTGGTGTGGTAGGTGGGCCAGAAATTGTGCGGAGTTTGGTTTATGGATCTGGGGGCCATAAGAAAATTAGTGGGCGTCTGTTAATGTGCGAATATAGACAACGGCTTTACGATTGGCAAAAGTTGATCTAAATTGGAGTCTTGTGATCATCGGGAAAGATCTCCTATGACATGGATATTAAAGTATATTAAAGGGCCCTGTTTAATTCGATTTTTGAGAGTATCCTTCAGATTACATGTCCTGGAATCCTTATGTGAAAAATCCTCATAATTACCTGTATCCTTTTTTTTTAATAAACCGCTTCTGTATTAAGTTTAATTTATTATTTTTAAAACCTCTTGGCTCAGCAATCACACTAAGTACTATTTATTGATTTTGTTTTGTAGTTTCAATTATCACTGGCTTAGAACCATCTTTATATTAGAGGCTATCACAGAGTCGGGTGGCAAGAATGCGAATAGCTGATGTATAGTATCTGTATCTGGTTGCCGCTTAATTGAGTTTGGGAACCGGAGAATTCACAATTTGAAACTTGATCGGTTTGCGTGTAGCCCCAGAAAGCGTTCCACTTACTTCTGAGGGTACGCCGTGAACGCGAACGGCGTTAAATAGCGAATCGGTTCTACGGCTCCGGGGGATCGTGGTGAGTTGGCAACGGAATCGAAAATCGGACAGTAGCATTCCCCCAGTTAGCCCCCATACGAGTCCTCAGGTCGGAATCGAACCGAATGAGGTGGAATCACGCCTCTGACGCTGATAACGCTAATTGGTTGCCTCCCTCGACCCTCGCTTTGTGGGAATTCTCTGGATTGCCGGGTGACTGGTCAGGTCGATGGGCCAAGCGGTCCGCAAACCCTAATGAATTGTCGTGTTCGATTAGCAGTTAAAATAGTTGAAATGTTTTATTTTTTCTTTCTGTTTTGAAATAAATAAAATACTGGTGGGTGAACAGATGGATCCTAACGAATAACTAAGAAACTTGAAGCTTATTTTATAAAACTTGAAATATTTCAAGAAAGAAAATATATTTTATATATAAGTGATTCACCTAAAAACAATTTTAATATTTCAGAATCTAGACCCATATATGTATTTCATGAAATTAAATCACAGTTTTTCATATCTTGAAGAAAAAAACATTTTACTGATAAGAAAACTTAAAGCAAAAGAATGTAGCTCGTTTACATAAGAAATAAATGGAAAAAATATTACCCAAAATTAGGCTTAAGGAATCTTGTTTAGTTCCTAAAACTTTAAATCCCCTGGGAATGGTTTTCGCGGGAAATTAAAGTTCAAGCCGAACAGCTGCCTATTTGATGGCCTCCTGCAGGGAATATTTTCAGTTGGTCTAATACTAACCCCCTCGATGATCAATATTACATATATATTTGTTTTGATATAGCACTACTAATTTGGCTTTTGTTTGAGCTTTTCATTGACAGGGCCGCGTGGAGTTTCTGGCCATTGTTTATAGTCAATATACAGCTGATATGGCAGATATAGGCGTCGTGTGGCCCATGGGTGGGTGCTAAATCTTGGCTAAAAATAGTACTCGTGTTTGATTGCATTTGGACGCTAATTTTAGCCACTTGTTGCATGCGTGTTGCCTTCGTCAGCTACTCACCCATAGTACTCGGCGAACTCCTCCATCGCTGTTTAGATTCAGTCTCCGTATCCAAATCGATTTAATTGAATTCAATTAATACTGTTGCGATCTCATCGGTTTGCGGCCGCTGTCCGCTCTTCACATAACCGTACTGCCACAAACCATGTGTTTTGGTCATAAAATCACTTTTTTTCCGTCCACGCAGCACATGCAGCTGGCACTCTCGAATTCTCAGCAATTGCCTCTCTCAGTGCTTAACCCTCTGAGTTCTAGGCTAAAAATATAGACTCTCAGATATTTCTTTATAAAAATATTTAGTTCTTTATAAAAAAAAAATATCATAAATTTATTAAGGCAAAGAAACGAATAGAAACATTTTTTTAAGGTATTCATAAATATCAAAATACATCTTATGTCTTTAACATATCAATAGTTTTCTCACATTAAATGTTATATATTTTAATATTTTTTAAAGAGTTAGATAATTTAATTTAATAAAGTTAAAGATAAAAACATAAAGTAAAAGTTAAATTGTTATTTTCTTAACCTAAAATCTTACTCCAGTTTCCACTAGAGGGTTAAGCAAATGCTTGAAATGGGGAGAGCCAGTGGGTTGCCGTCTTCTTGAGGTATCTATGAGATTGTTATGCTACCTGGCCATTTGGCTTACCTGGAAACCCTGATTTTGCCGGTAAAAGATATATCCAGCTCGGCTCTCTCTCTCTCTATATATTTTCTTTGGCTCTCTGGGCCTTTTGTTGGGCTTATTCCAGAGGCACTTTTATTTCATCAGCCCCTTAGTTTGTTCCACCCTTAGCAGTATTTCCAGGAAGCTAGGGGCTATGTTTTATTGTTTTATAGGGGCTCAAGAAATAATATCCTTCATGCGAAAAATATTGATTAAATTAAAATTAAAGATAATTATTATTTCCTTTAAAATATTTATAAAATTAAATTCCTAATAGATAGATGATACATTTATTTACCATCAACGTCACATTTTCGCTTGCTAATCAATCAGAGAAACGATTCAATGGATTCATATGAATCATGTGGCACATTTCTGGTTTTTGGAATTTGATATTTAATATTTTTGGGGCCGTGGGTTCAAATGGAAACTGATAATATAATACAATTTGTAGTTTTTTAATAAATTTCACATAGTTTTTTGGGGTCATAGTACGTTATTTACAAAAAAATGGTCAAGTACAATAGTTTAATTTGCTAACTTTATTTATGAAATTTATCTCAATTAGAATAAAATATTAATAATCTTATAGGTAATACATTGAATCTATTATTAATATGTTAAACTTTAAATGGTTTTAACTTAACCACCCTTAACTTGATTTTATAATTTACTTTAGACAGTTTTTGTAGCATATTAATCATATAACTTCGAACTCCAAAAAGTATGCTATAGATTGATGCATTTCGCCCAGATTCTGCTCTCCCACCCACACCAAAACGAGTTAGAATTGTAAGTTAATCAACCGGTTGTCGGTCAATACCGCCCGCATTCATGCTGATTTTTTGGCTACCCATTCAGTTGCTTCTCGCTCTTGGAGTCCGGCGGATCAGAGATCAGCAAACGTGGGCATCTCGTCGGTGATATTACGTAGAATCCGAACACCCACTAGAGATATTTGTGAGTGAAATTGGCGTGCATTTATTCTGGCTGATAAGAGTTGATTGTGTTTGGATTTGTTTTATTCTCTTTGGCTAAGTTAGTATGTCTGTCTGACTATAATAAAAAGCGATAATAAAAGTGTGTGAACGGAGCTCGACTGATCGGAGTTCCAAAGTGAATTAAGTGATGAGCAGGCAACAATGCCGGCTATTAATTGGTCTGAGCTATTTGGTTTTCGGTGTTTGCTATGTATTGATTTGAATTCAGTAAATTTATAATATGTATATTAAAATATATAATATGATGTGCAAAGATCAGTCGTAATACTTACCCAATACATGCAATGATTTTATCAAACCATATAATTTTCTTTGTAAATATTTACTTCGTTAGTTAGTGGCTTTTAAAAGTTTTGCAAACCATGAATTAATTCTTTTATTTTGCTTGTTAGAGAACAATTAATTTGAGTTGATGCTTTATTAGCATTTGCGGCAAACAAAAGTTTCACTTCCATGGAGTTTCGTACTTCCTATTTAACTGATTCCCAAGACCATAAAATTTACATTTCTCGTAATTGTTATATTGTTTTTTTACGCTTAATTTGCCAGACACTATCGTAATATATGGCTGAAAATATTTGCTTAACTGCAATTGTCAAGCTGCTGACAAACAAGTAGATTTTTTAATTGCAAATATTTTAGTGATTGTCATTAGTTTTTCGGCTTCAAAATGTATTATTTAAATGGCCAGCAAAGAAACAGTTAAACTGTAGAAATTTCCGAGAATTAACGTATTAAAATCTAAACAAAAGAGATCATTATACGGCTAATATATCCGGAACGGGTGATTACGCCCATCCATCATAAGCAGACTATCACCCACTGACGGCTCGCCCATTTACTATGCTAATTTAGAAATGTTTATACTAATTCCTATTAGGTTTTTTAGTAGCTGCCCCACATCTTCCTCCCACCATTTATGGCGATGTCAACTCATTTAAGTAAAATCAGCAATAATGCCGCGATAATCTTGTTTTTAACATCTGGATTAGTGGCCTACATTTCCATAGCCGATGCAGAAATATCCGGCAAGCCAAATATCATTATAATTATGGCCGATGATCTGGTTAGTGGAGAAATATTTGTAAAGTTCTTAAGCTATGACTAAGATTTCCTTATTCAGGGCTTCGACGATGTGAGCTTTAGAGGTTCTAATAACTTCCTAACTCCCAACATCGATGCTCTGGCTTATAGTGGAGTGATCCTAAACAATCTCTACACCGCTCCGATGTGTACTCCCAGTCGGGCAGCACTCTTGACTGGAAAATACCCCATTAATACAGGTGAGTTTTTGTTTTATAAATTATTTAGATAATATATAATTAAAACTACCTCAGGCATGCAGCATTATGTGATTGTGAATGATCAGCCCTGGGGTCTTCCGCTGAATGAGACAACAATGGCGGAGATTTTCCGGGGTAATGGCTATCGCACTAGTCTCATTGGAAAATGGCATCTTGGGATGGCGCAACGGAACTTTACGCCCACACTACGGGGCTTCGACTATCACCTGGGCTACCTGGGCGCCTATGTGGACTATTACAATCAGAGTTATGAGCAAACGGTGAGTGACAAGTGGTTTCTTTCCATATCAGCCGGACATGGCTTATCAGCTTCTTTTAAATTTTTATATTAAATATATTCAAAGTCTCAGATTTCTCAAATGATGATTAAATTGAATAATATACTAAGTTTATAAATATATTTAAATATATCTTCCATAGGGCAAAGGTTATCGGGGCCATGATTTCCGCGAGAATCTGAACCCCAATCATGAGCATGTGGATAAATATGTCACCGATATATTCACCGACGCCGCTGTCCGGGAGATCGAAGATCATGCAGCCAAGAACAATAGTAAGCCACTCTTCCTGCTGCTGAATCACCTGGCTCCTCATGCCGCCAATGCTGAGGATCCCATGCAGGCACCAGCCGACGAGTTGTCTGGATTTGAATATATTAGTAATGAGACCCATCGTTACTATGCGGCCATGGTATCCAGACTGGACAAGAGTGTGGGACAAGTTGTGGATGCTCTGGCCCGGCAGGACATGCTCCAAAACAGCATCTTGCTCTTTCTCTCCGACAATGGGGGACCCACCTTGGGTGAGCATTCAACCACCGCCTCCAACTATCCTCTAAGGGGGGTAAGTGTATTAAAAACTGAAATTTTACAAATATATATTCATAATTCTTTATTCTTAAACAGCAAAAGAACTCCCCCTGGGAGGGCGGAATACGTTCCTCGGCGGCTATTTGGAGCACGGAGTTCGAGCGACTGGGCAGCGTGTGGAAGCAACAAATCTACATCGGGGACCTCCTGCCCACTTTGGCCGCTGCTGCGGGCATCTCACCGGACCCAGACCTCAAGCTGGACGGACTGAACCTCTGGTCGGCCCTGAAGTATGGCTACGAGTCGGTGGAGCGTGAGATTGTGCATGTGATTGACGAGGAAGCTCCGGAACCGCATCTATCCTACACCCGCGGCAAATGGAAGGTGGTTAGTGGCACCACCAACAGCGGGCTATATGACGGCTGGCTGGGAGAGAGGGTGACCACTGAGGTCGATCCGCGATCTCAGGAGTACGAGTCTCTGATCCGGAACACCAGTGTGTGGTTGCAGTTGCAAAAAGTAAGCGGGGGGGAGCGCAACATCAGCGCTCTAAGGCAGCAGGCCAGGATCGAGTGTGCAGCTACTACGGAGGATGAGCAAACTTCCTGCCTGCCCCTGGAGGCACCCTGCCTCTTCGACATCGAGGCAGATCCCTGCGAGCAGAACAACCTGTACGAGGAGTACAAGAACACCACCGTCTTTCAGGATCTGTGGCAGCGTGTCCAGCAGTTCACCGCTCAGGCTCATCCCCCCAATAACAAACCGGGGGATCCTGCATGTAATCCTAGTTTTTACCACAACGAGTGGACATGGTGGCAGGATGAGACACCCTCCAATTCAGCTTTCTCTTTAAAAAGTAGTGTATTACTGATATTTCTCCTAAACAGTTGGTGGATTTTCTAATTAGGTTTAGGAAACAGTATCTTTTAAAAAGTGCTATTATACATCTAGTATTACCTTCATAGGCATTGTGAAGAACCCAAAAGTATGCTCCATCGAAAAATATAAACGAAATTAAGATAAGAAATATCTTAACCTTGGCAATATCTTATTGTTTCGAAGTCTTGAAGTCATTGTGATTAGAGTGTTGGGAGCAAGCCAATTTAGATAATTTATGGCTTTTATAATATTTGACCAGGTCATAATCGTTTCTGAGTAATGTCCAAATGAATCCAGTCTCTAAACCGCTTGTTATCTTATCACCGCTTCTATGAAAGTTGATAGTTGCAAAACCCCCTTAAATCAGTCAAAACTATAAACAGAAATAGAAATAGATCTCCGTCAATCAAATGGGGACTTTGTTTGGCCTTCTGAATTCTGTTAGCGATATTAGTTACTTTGGAATATGATATACATATATATATAATTTTTTTATTTTTTAATGGTTTCTTTTTTATGATATTTAAAGCATAAAGGCCGACTATTTGAAGCTTGGAAAGAAATTCCTTAGCCTTGCTCTGATATGAATTTAAAAGCCGAATAGATTTTCAAATAGATTTTCATATTTATATTTTTAATAAATTAATCATTTTATTTATTATTTTTTTTAAATCTTATATCGGACTGTTTAATAAACAGTTCCATTGACCTTGGGCTGGGCCACCAGGACTTCATATTTGTCGAGCTTGCGCAAGGACAGGCTCTCGTGCTTGATGATGCACACCTTCTGGGGCAGAAGGAGAGTTCCGATCAGTAATCCTCCATCGGCCTTGGATCGGCAGAAGTACACCCTCTCGTTTTTGACCGTAGTGCCAGCGGCTACAGAATTCTTCTCATAGAATCCATCGTAGCTCCTCTGCCAAACATAGTTCACATTTCTCTCGGCCACCAGGAAATCGTAGATCAAGAGTTTTCCGGAGGCGGTCTCTGTGTTGTAGTAGGCAATTCCGGTTTCCACAACGATGCGGGCGGGAAGGATATCATTTCCAGCCTTCACACGGCCCACGTAGGTGTTGTATCCGTTAGGATCGTAGCCTCCAACAAGGGCATTGCTAGGAATCACGTAGGACAGGTTTCCGGCGACCCACACTTGCTCAGTGTCTATTAATAATATAGAGCATTAAGAAAGGATTCGAAAAGTATGTCTGGCTCTTCAAATGCTTACCAGGAGTGGAGGGAATAGCGTAGACCACTGCGAACAGGGCTAGAACCAAGCAGGCAACTTTGTACATCTTGAGGGGCTGATGGACTCTGTTTTAATGGCTTTCAAAAAAATTGCCTGCTTTTATAGTCGATTTCTTATCATCAGACTCCTGATAATCTTGATACTATCAAAAATTGTGTACTGATAGGCTCGATTCGGTGAGTAACCCTTTCTAAAAGTTTCTGGTTTTATTGTCCCCTATTAAAATACAGACATTTACTTGTCAAGAAAAAAATCCCCTGTCCATCTTTGACCATTTTTTTAGTTGTATAATTTAGGCTTTTAAAACCTTTAACCTTCTTTCATATTTTCAATAGAAATATAAGCACCAAAGGTGTATTTGAATTATTTTTTCGTTTAATAGAATGTACCATTGCTCTTGGGCTGGGCCACCAGAACTTCGTATTTGCTAAATTTTTGCAAGGATAGGTTATCATGTTTTATGATGCACATCTTGGTTCTTAAGAACAGGGTTCCGATCAGGATTCCGCCATCACTCTTCGCTCGGCAGATATAGACCAGCTCGTTCTTGGCGGTCGTGCCCACGGCTACAGAATTCTTCTCGTAGAATCCATCGAAGCTTCTCTGCCAAACATACTTGACATTTCGCTCGGCAACTAGGAAGTCGTAGATCAGGGATTTTCCAGAAGCGGTCTCCGTGTTATAGTATGCGGTTCCGGTTTCCACGAGAATCCGGGCGGGAAGGATGTCGTTTCCGGCCTTGACACGACCCACGTAAGTACCATAGCCATAGGGATCGTAGCCTCCAAGGATGGCAGTGCTGGGAACCGAGTAGGACAGGTTTCCGGCTCTCCACACTTGCTCGGTATCTAAAAAAACCTTTTGCTGTAACTTATATCAAGGAGAGTGTGATCTTTAAATTCTTACCATACGCGGAAGGAACCGCGTTGGCCACGGCGAAAAGGGCCACAACCAAAACGACAACTTTGTACATCTTTTAGGACTCTTGAATTCGATTTGAGTATCTCTTCCCAAGTGTGTAAGCTTTTATAGGCCCAGGCCTTATCTTAAAACTAAGGGGGTGCCCTTATCGTTATCTAATGATTGCTATTGATAGCATCTTTCTTACTACAAATAAACAATGTTTACTCATCGCAGTTTTATTGCAACCTCTGAAACTAAAAGATACCTACATATGTATTTATTGGCCGAAAAAGTTCCCCTTTAGGTTATTTCGCCAATTTTAAAAATTAAATAATCTTTTAATCTGATAAGCAGTGGGATTTCCATTCCTCTATTTCATAAATTCAGTAATGTTTAGAGGCTCCATGTATCATTAATATTTCCTATTTATTTGAATTCTCCATTATTTTTATAAAAGAAATTTTGAAAATGAAACATAAAAAGGGCAAAAGAACTGAATTTTGTTATGTATTGTAAGAAAATAACAAATCTGATTGTTTTATAAATTAATTTTTGTATGTTTTATTGAAAACCAAGAGATTTTATATGTTATAGAGAATGCATACATTCATCATCTATTTAAAATTCTTATCCTTAAATGTCCCACTCAGGGATATCCTAGATTCTACATATATACATAATTAAACTTATTTAAAAAGAATCAAGAGACCATCCTTTTTAAGATCAGTTTTAAGGCCGGAAAATTGTTCTTCCCAATACTTTATCTTTTTATTAAACTCAATAACACATATATGATTTTTTTCTAGACAAACTTGTACTCCCTGACAAGGATTTCGTATTTAGAATGGTAACGAATTGGCAAGGATTCGTATTTAATGACGCAAAAGCGCCGGGCCAGGAGCAGGGTTCCAATAATGACAGAACTATCGGAATATGCTCGGCAGATGTATACTGGATAATGATCTGAATCAGTTCCCACGGATACGGCATTTTCCTCACGAAAGCCATCAAAGCTTCGTTTCCAATGATAGCTAATAGTCTCATTGGACACCAGGACATCAAAATAATAGGTCACGTAGTTATCAAACAGGGTGTTGAAGGTGGCTTTACTCAATTCTGGAACCACTCGGGCGGGCATGATACTGCCGCTGTAATCCCAGCGGCCCACGTAGTTGTAGTAGCCATCCGGATCCATGCCACCGAGCACCGCGTTCTTGGGGAAGTCCAGTGTCCTATTCATTTGAACCCATTGGTCCTGGTTGCTGTAGACGCCTCCTTGAATAAAGGCCACCAACTGCACGATTGTAATGGCCAAAATGGCAGAGCTCTTGGCGACGAACATGATGGTTTTTAGACTGATAAAGTTTTGTGACCATATCCATCGATTCAGTGAATTTATAGGTGCTCCTAGCCTGATTGTGGATCACGATAAGATAGCCCGTAAATAATTTTTAAAAGGGACTTTCCTATATTTTATTTTTTTGTAGACGGTGATTTGTCAAAGGTGTTTATTTATCGCTATCTAATGATCGGTATTGATAGAATCATTCTATCTACAAAACGTCAAAGTCAACTCATCGCAGTTTTCTGCAACTTCTGAAAACAAGAGATAGCTCTTTATTGCCTGGAAACTTACATATTGGAAATATAAAGTTTTTTAACTTTCATGATGTCTCTCTAATTAAAAATTCTTTTGTGTTTTTAATAAATATGGATTTTATTTTAGGGCCACTTGCCCAGGTTGCGCTCCCTGACTAGGATTTCGTATTTATCATGGTAACGGACAGGCAAAGTGTTGTACTTTATAATGCAAGAGCGCTGGGTCATGACTAGGGTACCAATGATGTGGGCATCATTGGAACGAGCTCGGCAGATGAAGACTCGTTCATTTGCAGAATTGGTTCCCACTGATACGGCGTTCTCCTCGCGAAAGCCATCGAAGCTCCGTTTCCAGTGGTAGCTGATAGTCTCATTGGCCACCAGGACTTCGAAGGATGTAGCATCAAACGATGAAGTTTCAGTGTTGAAGGTGGCTTTACCCAATTCGGGAACCACTCGGGCGGGCAGGATGCTGCTGCTGTACGCCGTTCGCCCCACGTAGCTATAGTAATTGTCAGGATTAATACCTCCAAACACCGCGTTCTCAGGCAGGTCCGAATTCTTGTCCATCAAAACCCATTTGTCCTGGTTGTTGTAAACGCCTCCTTGAATAAAAGCCAACAGCTGGACGAAGATAATTGCAAAAATGGCAGAGCTCTTGGCGAAGAACATGATGGAGCGTAAGACTGAACAAGTTTACTGATCATGTCCACCTGCTAGTTTTTATAGTCGCCAGGAGGGCCAAGATTATAAATAACGGTAAGATTGCCTGTAAATAATATTAAGGGGGCTTACCTTAGTGATAAGATACTTGGTCATATTTTCGGGATTGGTGATTCGTCGAGTTTCGCTGAGATGTAAAAAATTCCCTTATAGCACAAGTGTAAAAAGGTTCTTTATAAAATGGAAAGGATATTAATGCTTAATACCTGCTCACAGTTTTTATAGTGACCAGGGGGCCAAGATAATGAATAACGATAAGACTTCCTGTAAATAATATTAAGGGGGCTTACCTTAGTGATAAGATACTTGGTCATATTTTCGGGATTGGTAATTCGTCGAGTTTCGCTGAGATGTAAAAATTCTCCTTATGGCACAAGTGTAGAAATGTTCTTCCTCAAATGGAAAGAATATTAATGCTTATGGTAAAGGTGTCCCGGTGTGTCAAATTCTGCTCCAATGCATTCCCAGGTTATGATTAAGATTTGTGATGAATTGATCAAAAAATCATTTAAGGTATTCCGCTTAACAATCGGATTGATATTGAGAGAGATATGGCTTTCGTTTTCCCTAAAAAATTGGGAAAAAATCTGAAAAATATTTTTTCGTCAGATTTTGATGCAGATTTATAAAGAATCTATCTACAAATCGTTTAAGGTATTCCGCTAAACAATCTGATTAATATGGACAGAGATATGGCTTTCGTTGTGGGCCATAGTGGGGATTTCTACATTTTTAAGGATTTTGAAGGGGACCCTCTAGAAAATTTGAGAAAAAATCTGAAAAATATTTTTTCTTCAGATTTTGATGCAGACTTATAAAGAATCCATCTAAAAATCGTTTAAGGTACATAGTCCGGCTAACAATCGAATTATTATTAGCCAAGATATGACTTTCGCTGTGGAAAATATTTATATCTCTTGCAATTTCCCGCAATTTGAAGGGAATTCGAAAGAAAAGTTGATCAGAAATATAAAAAAAAAAATAGTTATTATTTTTGGATGCGGAGTATTTTTGGAGTATCGAGAATCGATTGACATAGATTTTATGTTTGGATGTTTATGACCAAAAATTTAGCTTCGAAGAACGTTTTTATTAAATCAGAATACATTAAATTAGCAATGAATATTCGCCGTTTTGGCATTGAAAAATTGCCAGATCCAATTGCTAGGCAACTAATTAATTTAATTAGAGCGCGCAAAACTAGTTTGTGATCTATAAACTGACTAGGTTATCTAAGAACTTGTCCAAAACCAAAAAAACCCTGACCTTTGTCAACACCAATCATTCTATCTCCTTCACTTCCTCTGGTCTTCTCTGTCTGTGGACCCTTTTGAAAGCTTGATGAAACTTTGTTTTAACGGTTTCGTGTGTCTTTGCAAAAACACGTTTTGTTTTTGGCTTTGCCGGCGGCTGCGCGTTTTAGCTTTTTATTTACGATTACGATTTTCGCGCACGCTTTGTGACGTCATTAAACGCTGGAGTCGGCGCAAAATGGTTGTCACTTTAAAAGCGCTAACAGTTAGCAGAGCGTTTAGTCGATTCGAGCAGCTGGTGGGGTAAGGATCACCGTTAAACAGATATACTTTACTGTTATTTTGGATAAACAGTGGCTAAAAGTGTGACTAAAATCATGATTAAACGATCCATAATTGAAGTGAAGTTAAGAACCCTTGAGTGAGGATTATCGTCCACGTGTAAATCTTCTATATATTATCTCAATAAAATTTTAAAAAGTGAGATTGAATCGAACTTCTTAACCTGTTTTCAAAATTCAAAAATAAAACATAATTTAGAGAACAATTTAATCTGTTTTGTGATATGAACCAGTTTTTATTGTTTTTTGTCTGTTTTTTTTTTTTTTAACAAAATAAAACATTCTTCATTTTTAATGAGTTTTCATAAAAAACTCAGACTTGCTGAAGTGATACTAAAAAGAGATTATTTTGTGATTGCAAATTGTGTTCCATAAAATCTGAATGGCTTTGATAAGGACCTTAAGCACCCAAAGCTTTTATCTTTCGTAATCTTTTCATTGGCTGTTGCTAAATTTCTTGGCTTAGAGTCTTGGCCAACATTAATACTGATTTCCTAACTACATTTCGCGGTTAAGCCTTTCTAGCCCTAGTCATGCTTGAAATCTTGCAAAAAAAAACTCCTCAGAACCTGTTGCTGATTAATAGAGGATCTGCCCAAACTCAAGAACCTTTCCATTGATGAACAATAAACTGGATAACGATTACCTCACCAGAAATCCCCCAAGGTCGTGCCATTAACCAGCTGTGAAGGTCATCAGCTGGGCAACACTGGGCGGTTTCATTCTCAGTCACAGTCCAAAAGTCGTGACTGAAATTACCATCCCATTCGCACGACAGTTTATAAAGCCCATTTTAAACTGGATAGAAAAGCGAAATAATTTCCACAGCTCTTGGTTATGGGCCAGATTTCATTACTGCCAGCCTTGTTAATGGGGCATTGCGACAATTAAAACATGCTTTTAGCCAAGATGCAAAGAAATTGTACTCTCCTCACAACGAGGCTAGTACGTCTTCAAGTGTTTATTTCGGCCTTATATAATGCCTTCAACCATTGTTGCAAAAAACAAAACTACAATTGCCAATACGGTTGAATGAACTTTTCGGCCAGATGGTGCATTGGTTATTGGGATAGGTCAGGGGGAAAAAAGGAGGGGGAGCGACAGGTAGATTACACACAGCCAATTATGGTAAAGAAAATTTGGCAAACATGCTGCCTAGGTTATATAATATTGTAAAATCTTAGTTACGTGTTAAGTTGCCACACTGACTTATTGTCAATAAAAAAAACAAGGCTTATAAAAGATTTTTTAAAAATATAAGACTATAAATATATTTTCTATTTTTATATATTTATAGAAATCTTCAATAAGAATTTTAGCCATGACTCGTGAGCTTCCCTGTATACTCATCCTGAGTATTTTATTAGTAATAGTAAATGGGTCAACAACATCTAGTAAGCCTAACATATTAATCATTCTAATTGATGATATGGTGAGTTTAATGAAAATATTATAATATTTAAAAATTATTATTTATTTTTATTTAAATTAATTTTTTTAAGGGCATGAATGATGTAAGTTTCCATGGCTCCAACCAAATCCTTACTCCCAATATTGATGCTTTGGCTTACAATGGAGTATTACTAAACAAACATTATGTTCCCAATTTGTGCACTCCCTCAAGGGCCACCCTTTTGACTGGAAAATATCCCATACATACGGGTAAGAGTTGACATAAAAAGAAAGTAATAAAATAAATTACATATCTTATATTCCACGGGGAAAGTTTCTTAAGATTGGATAGAAAATAAATCATTACTCTATTGTAATTAAACCTGACTAAAAATAATTATAATTTATATATTCAGGAATGCAGCACTGGGTTATCATCACCGATGAGCCCTGGGGGCTTCCGAAAAAAGAGCGTCTTATGCCGGAACTATTCCGTGAGGCAGGCTACTCCACGCACCTGGTGGGCAAGTGGCACCTGGGCTTCTGGCGGCAGGATCTTACCCCCACAATGCGAGGATTTGATCATCACTATGGCTACTACAATGGCTACATTGACTACTACGATCACCAGGTGCGATTGCTGGGCAAAAACTATTCGCCAGGACTCGACTTCCGCAAGGATTTTGAACCCAATCCTAAGGCCAATGGAACCTATGCCACGGAGGCCTTTACGTCGGAAGCCAAAAGGATAATCGAAAAACATGACAAGAGTAAGCCGCTTTTTATGGTTCTCAGCCATTTAGCAGTACATACAGGGAATGAGGATAATCCCATGCAGGCTCCTGAGGAAGAAGTGGCCAAGTTTTTGCATATCAAGGACCCCAAAAGAAGAACCTATGCGGGTGAGATGAAAACTTTATACACAATACTTTAGTACATAATCTAAAGGATTTTTTCCTGGCTATAGGTATGATCTCCAGCCTGGATAAGAGTGTGGGTCAAACTATCCGAGCCCTAAAGGACAATGACATGTTAAACAACACCATAGTTTTGCTTTACTCGGACAATGGAGCTCCCACTGTGGGTATTCACTCCAATGCAGGATCCAATTATCCCTATCGAGGAGTAAGTGTTATATCTGATTTTAAGATCATAAACTTATATTAATTTTATCTTAAACAGCAAAAAGAATCTCCCTGGGAGGGTGGCATTCGATCGGTTGGTGCCTTGTGGAGTCCTTTGTTAAAAAAGCAAGGGTACGTGTCCAACCAGGCGATCCATGCCATCGACTGGCTTCCCACATTGGCAGCAGCTGCTGGAGTATCGTTGCCCCAGGATCTGCAGCTCGATGGAAAAAATCTCTGGCCATCGTTGAGTGAAAAGGCAGAACCCAAGCCTCGGAAGTTTATTCATGTTCTGGACGAGGTATTCGGCTACTCCTCGTATATGAGTGACACTCTCAAGTATGTGAATGGAACCAGCTTCGCAGGACAATACGATTACTGGTTGGGTGATCTGGAAGCCAATGAAGACGATCCCTTGAGTGGAATTTATGAAGAACAGGTCTTGGCATCGGAGGTGCAGAGTGTCTTGGGCTCCCACAGTCTAACGGGGGACCAAATCCTTCAGATGAGAAGCGAAGCCACCCAGAAGTGTCCAGCAATTGAGGGCCAGGATCCTCTGCAACCGCATTACAGGTGTGAGCCCCTTGTGGCTCCCTGCTTTTTCGATTTAGCCCAAGATCCTTGTGAGCGATACAACCTGGCCCAGTTGTATCCTCTCAAGTTGGACCAACTCCGTCAGGAGGTGGAGGAATTCCGCCGGACAGCTATTCCCAGTGCTCGAGTACCCTTTTCCGATGAAAGAGCGGATCCCATATTTCACAATGGCAACTGGGAGTGGTGGAATAATACGGGAAGTGATTCAAGTGCAGGCACCTGTTCACGGAATCTGTGGATTATCCTAGGAAGTGTTGTAGCTTTAGTCTTTATGAATCGTTTTTAGGGGTAAGTTCTAAATAGTTGAATTTTATAAATTAATTAAATTAACATATTATCTAGTAAACTTAAACGAAAACTATAGAGACATCTTTACAATCTTAACGCCTTTTAGTATTTTTGAATAGCAGCTCTTGCTAACTTTTAATGTAAATAAAAAAAGTAAAAATAAAGTCTATGGATTGAAAGCTGTGACCTAATTTTTCTTTTTATTTACTGATCAATTTTTTAAGAGTGATGCCAGACAAAGAAATAATCAGAAACCAAATTTTTAGAATACATATACGGCAAAATAAATTCATTTTATACTTTTAACTAATTTTATTCGAAACAACAATGGACAATGGACAACTTAACTCTCTAGAAACATTAGAAAAATTAACTTAGAATTACGATTTTAAATGGGGCATTGATTAGGGGGATACTTAGGACTAATTTTACAGAATTACATAAAAAATAATGCAACAGATGATAACAATACATTCGGAATACTCACTAGATATTTGTATCTAAAGATCGTATAATATATATACATAATATAAACGGACAGTTGGACCTGGCAGAGCCAACATTATATCATACGTTCGGATAATACTCTTAATTTATTTCAAAAATGTGTCTCCTCGGGAAGCTTAGAAGCTGCTTTTCCTGCGTGTCCTCCGTGGATATCCACATCTCTTTGGCGCTATTCGATCATATTGAATAGTAGACAGGAGAATATCATACCGAATATCTATAAAACATTAAAAGTAATTAATTAAGAAAATATGTTACAAAGTTGAAGGGTAACTAGTCCCACCATTAGTATTGCCACTGCTATGGATGTGCCCCCAATAACCGCCGCATGATCCCTGATGAAGTTGGTCGTCACATAGAGACAGCCCTGGTTGTACAGATTCGTGATGGTGGGAAAAATGGTGCACTCCTTGCGCTGTCCTCCGAATAGCTCCTGGCAACAGGACTCCGGCACGGGACCATAGCGATTCCAATCATGCCACGTGTCCACGCCACAGCACTGCAGCCTTTCCTGGGTCAAATCCCAGGCCTGGGTGATCTCCCTTCGGCTGCCGTACAAAGCCATTGTGGAACGCATTTCCTACACAACAAATTATATGTTAAATTATGGTTTAAGTTAATAAAATAATATTATTTTTCCATACCTGCCGCATGGTCTGCTGAACTCTTTCACGGAAAACATAACCCAAGACGCCGCCAATTAGCATGGTGACGAAAACCAGAGCCACAATTATGAAATACTGTCAAGGGAGTGTTAAGTGGTTGTTGCAAAAAAACCCCATTTAATGTTTATCTATCTCACCGTTAGTAGCAGACATTTGACTTCTTTTCCGGCACCTACACAACCCAAAAAGGACACCAGGCAGATGATGATGGAAGTGACCAGCAGGACATAGACAGCTCCCGAGAAGAGGTTCGTTCCCAGCAATTCATTGACAAAGCTCCGATCTACCAGGGTCCACAAGGTCAAACAAAACACAATGGCTCCACCCACCTATGAGAAAATATTAATAAAGTAATTATTTTGCGTTTTTTATAAAATATTTAACTTACAAATATCACAAAGTTGGCTATAAAAAGGCTGTACTTGACGAACTGCCCGCAGCAGTCCATGCGCGAACTGAAGCCCATATCGTCTTCCTGGTATGGGGAAATTATTATTATTAAAAATTATAATGATAAAAATATGTTAAATATGCTATTACTTTGGTTTTTAGATGATGAGTCCCAAGAGGAAATTGATGTAGGGGATGGATGCTAAGGATTTGGGAAAGGACAAGATGCAAAGGTTCTGGATGGCGCTTCAATGCTAGACGATGAAAGCAAACACAAATTCATTAAACATTGTTATTTACTTGATTATAATAATGTAAATATTCAAGAATTTTATATATATTTTAATATTTTTTTTTCTATTTTTTTACACCAATTACAGATGTAAATGCCCCTTGGAGAGTGGAGAATCAGTGTTGCGCATGCGCAGCTGTTGCTATGGCTTTTTCTAAGCCGGGTCCGCATCCGATTCCGATTCCGACTCTGAGCCGAAGTACACTTAACCATGACCCACTTTTTGGCCACTTTTGAGCTTCGCAGCTACACACGGCTAACGCATTGCGCTAGACAAGCGTTCATTATTGGCGGTTGCTGTTAACGTTTTGTGGGTTTTGTCAGTTACGGCTTTTACAAATCAGAGAGACTTGGCTCACTTGAAGCCACCTCAGTGGCTCAGCGGCATTAGGTCCACTTCAAGGGTTCCAAATTTTTTCCTCAAAACAATCTCCCCCCCAAATAAATCAAAATAACGACCCAAGTAATTAGAGGTGGGCTTAACAAACAAGATCGGGTGAATCATTTTTGGCACTACGATGTTCTAAATGCTAATTAAAAGTAATTGCAGGCTGAGCAACCGAGTAAACCCTCCTCTATCCAAGTAAACGACATCTCATTTCGTTTCGAGAATCATTTTTGAAAATTTAAATAAGCAGATATCGCCAAGTAATTGCTAGGTTATTAAAAATGTTCTCACACTGTCGGAGTATTCACTATTTTTCATTTGGTGTTATCATCTGGCTAGAATCGTGCCTGAGATGACAGTAAGTCATCTGAAAGTCGCCATTAATGACGGGATTGTTTTTCTGTGTTTTTTTTGCTGATTTTTAACTTGTAAGCTAAAACCAATTAAGTTTATGGTAATTGTTCAGGTGTACGTGCTACACATCATAATAAAGCACTTAAAACTAGGATTCTGAATCAAAGATATGGGAGGAACATTTTTTTTATAAAAGTAATTATCAATAATGCTACTTCTAGGATTTTAAGCTGTCAAAAATTAGTCATATTACCCATACATATATTATATTCAAATTTTACTTACAAGTCTGCCGTCCCGTAGCACAAAGGAGGTTTTCGTTAGGTAACCAATTTTGGCGGTTTTCTTTTACCAGCTTTTGTTTATGTAAATTTTCACCCTATTGTTGTTTTGCCAAAAATTAGCAAAACAGCCAATGCAAAAGAAGAAAACCACTATTTTCGGATGCACTTGACTGAACAGAAACTTTGGTAGCGATAATGCAGGAACTAAGGCTAAAATAAAGAAAAGGTATTGTTAATAAAAACTATTTTAAATCGACCATAATAGGCCTGTTGTTACTGTAGTGGCCTCTCTCTCTAAAAATGGTTCATTGATTAACCTTAAAATTTATTTATTAACTTAACAACTTTTTCTGGTTCATTTTTTTGTGAATTCGAATTCGTTTTCGATTTCTATTTATTATTTTTTATGTGTTTCATTCAGATCACCATCGCTTGCGTAGGTTTACGTAGATAAGCAATTTTGCAATATCCGTTAATAATTTCTCGCTTATTTTCTTTTGTTTTAAACTGTTTTTTTTTTGTTTTTGTTAATTTAATACAGGTTTCTTGCATTTGTTTTAAGCGTCACTGGCAACAGTTGATAATTGTTATTGAGGTTTTTATACGATTGTTGTTGCTGCTGCTGTTTATTGTCAATTGCAGTTCTCCCATGGCAAACAACTTTTTTTTGCCGTTTTGCTTTAAGTTTTTTTTTTTTACTTTTTGAAAGTTACGTCACATTTAGATAATAACTGTGTTATCCTTAGAAATATTCTCACAGACTTTAAGGAACTATACACTTGTTGACTTTATAGATTTTTAAACAAAATTGTATTTATTTAAGCTCGGCTTACAGAGTGAGGATCGGAGACGAAGATATGGTGGATATAAGGTTTCTATATATGCGGGAAGACTACGACGACGACTCCACCGCCCGAGAGCTCGCTGGAAACTGGTTGTGGGATCAGTTGGGGCGATCGGTTTTTTATTAGTTTCGCTGAAAGAGCTTCGTTGTTTTGAGGCCTTTATTTTCAAAAGTCTTGTCTCTCGAAATTACAACAATTTCGACTTGAGCCGCTGTTTTTTTGAGCGTGCGAGTGGGAGCGAAGAACGATATATATGGTAGAGATGGAGAGACACGATCGCTTACAAACCGCAAATACTTCTGAATGTTTTCGTACTCCCCATTTATTTATTCATCTACTTTTATGAATTTTTTGTTGTTCCCAACCTTTCCAGGTACCCTCGACTGCCTTCACATGTGAAAATGCGTTCGGCAAACAAAATATATCCGAGATCGGTTTACTTTCCGGCCATAGGAGTAGTCTTTGTTTCGTCTTTTGGCCAATTGCAAAATTGCAAATAAAAATTATGTATCAGCACAGAATTTGATACAAAAAAAATATTTTTAAGAAACGCTAATTTCAGCACGTGGTTCCTAACGTTTGAAAGTGGTAAAGTTTATTGAACTTCTGTTTTTATGTTTTCCAAGTTGGAAGATCCGTCTCTATGAAGTTTTTACAACAGGTAGGGTTAAATTGTTTCTAAATTCTCTGAATATTTATTTTTTTTGAAACTCAAGAAAATAAAAACCCCTCTAATCCTATTAAATTTAACCATTTTCTTCTATATCACGCATAAAATTGCTGCAATTGGAGGACAACCTTCGGCAATTAACAACTTAATTTTTTCTGTTAGCCAAACAAATAGTTTTAACTGAACTGAGTAATTTTGTAACCAATTTTCGAGTTAAGGTCAAAGTTGGCTGCCGATACACAAATAGATCCACCCCCTCGACATTTCGGGGTGAGACTCCTCACTTATATTTGCGGTTTGGTTAAAAATTGTTGAGTTTGTAGCTCCACAAATTGTTGGGTTGTTTAGCACTTTTATGGTTGTGTTAACAGCAACTAGGCCCCCCTCTTAAAAAAACACTCACCTCTCGTTCCCAGTGGCAGTGACTAGTGCATGGCAAAAAATGGAAATAAATAATAAAAAATGTAAAAACAATTACTCTGTTGTTGATTTTGCATCTCGTACACTCGCTGTGGGAACCTTTTGCGTTTTATAGTTGCAATAAAATCAATTTCTACATACTCGATGCAGGCGGCCCCACACAATAAAATATTGCACAAAAATCGAAAGTGCTTGGAACTGGTTATATGAGAGTTGAAAAATAAAAATTTTAGAAAAATATTGGTATATGGGGAGGCTCTACTCCAAGGTTATTTTAATTTTGAGGGACTAATTTTTAACAAGTTAATTTTGTATACCAAAATATTATTTTCTACGATCAGAGACGTGATTATTCTTAAAGACCTCGTTGAGCTCGTCGAAGGTGACAGGCTTCAGAAGCGTTAAATTGTAGCACTTAAAATGATTAGAAAGAGTAGCATTAAGAAGCTAAAAATGACAACATTAAGAACAAATTTAAAAACTGAAAAGTGGTTTGAAAATACTACTAGAAAGATCTCTATAATAGTATTAAGAAAAGCCTAATACTCAAGCCTAAGCAAAGCTTATTAATTTATATATAATTAAATTAAAATAAACATATATGCAAAGAACTTTGACTCTAAGATTCATCATCTTATTTATCTCCAGATCGATACAATCTTAATCAATTAATCATTTGCATATTCCATTAATAAATTTATGAGTTTATGGGAATACTTCAAGTTGAGTTCTCTTCTCATGGGAAAATGACGAAAGTTGCAAGGTTTTTACAGAGTATTATTTTACTTTGGTTACTTTGGTTTATTTTTTAAAATACATTTGCCTTGTAATCTTCAATAGTTTTTGATGGACAACCACAAAACGCAACCGACTCTCAGATCTTGACCAACTAAGCTCGTATAGTTTTCCCATGTGCCCACGAAGCAAACAAATACCAAGTGCATTCCGTGACCTCCGGGTTTTAGAAGTCGTTTAATGGCTAATCCAGCTAATTTGTCCAAGTTGAACAATTGTTTTATTTATTTGCCGACAGTTGGGGCATTCCTCCTACGCTTCAAAAAATAATATTGAAGAAGCAAATAGCCGAAAAATAAGTTTGTTTTTAGTCATGTGGCTGCTAATTGCACGGTGTCGGTGTCAGCTCCATTGATTGTACGTGGCGATGTGTCAGACTGAGCCTGAATGTTGTCTCTACCGACCTGGTCAGGTATTTCCGCCAGAAAGAGCAATGTTTCCATATGTGGAACCTAAGTTGAAGCCTAAAAGTAGGCTATAAAATCTGGTCAGCGTAAGATAAGGGTTTAAGACCTTTAAAGTATATTTTCATAATTTTAAATAAAAAATCATAATTTTTTTAACAATTTCATTTTTAATATTTATGTACAATTTCATACATTTGGACTATAAACTATTTTTGTGTGTTTTACATTGTTCATTTTGGTAAATTGCACTCATCAAGTTCTACGCTTGCCTTCACTAAGGTGGGCTATATATAATATTATACATAATAGTTTTTTTTAAGTACAAAAATCATCGTTTCGGAGGCACTTAAGGGGTTATATACAGTTGTACCGCGCAAGAATATGGATTTTTATCGATTTTTTTTTGACACCATAGAAAATATTTATGAAAAATGTTTTAACGACGTTGTTTAGTACATGTTTCTGGGTACTTAATTAAATTTTTCATAAAAAATATTACATAACAAAAATGTTAAAGCCGAATTCCCGGATCGTCTTTTTTCGATGGTGTCTTGCGGTGGACATGATTTCTCGAAAACGGTTCATCCGAAATCCAAAATTCAAAAAAGTTTAGTTAGTATATTGTATTGTCTAGTCCGTGAACGAGGGATTTTTAAAAATTTTGATTAAAAAAAAAATGGCGACGTTTTTAACAAAAAATGTACTTTTTCAACGTATAAGATTTTCGTTTTTTGTGCTTTAAAAAAGGAGTTTTCAAAAAAATGGAAAATCCCTCGTTCACGGACTAGCTAATATCATAATAAATAAGTGGTCAAAATTTGGTGTTGATCGGATTAGTAGTTTTTTAGTAATCGTGTCCACCGCAAAGGTAATTTCCCAAAAAAAAGATTCTGAGATAATCGCGTTTAAAGTTTCAAGTTTGTTCAAGTTTTATATGCAGATAGTGCGCTTTAAATAGCTACAGCTTCAGTTCTAATGCTCCGATCGTTATGAATTTTTGTGAGAGTATTCCCAATAGAATATACTTAAAGAATATGCAATAAAAAAAAATCGATTTTTTCATATATCACAACTGTATATAACCCCTTAAACGAACTTAGTCTAATCTGCTTGATTGTAGACGGCAACTTTTGTTTCTCTATTCAGTTTATAAAATAGGACTTAGCAACTAGGAAGGGGTTTTGGTGCTACGATTCACAAGCTATCACTTGGACATATCACAAAACATAGTTCGCCTTGCCAGCAAGGACCTCGTCTCACGCCGTCCGGCAGGCATTGGCGTACTCCACACAGTCGTGCAGCGTGGGAAAGATTTCGAAGGGTCCTTCGCTGAGGGCCATACTGTGTACCAGGGTGTCGTAGACCCGATCCACAGGACTGGCCAGCAGCAAACGGGCTCCGCGAGCCTTCAACTCCTTGCTCACATCTGTCAGAGTCCGACATCCCGCCACATCGATGTGTCCCAGCATGGAAAAGTCCAGGATGAGCATCTTGAAGGAAGAATCCGGCACGTCGATGACTTTTCCACCGTTCTGTGAGACTGGGGAGTAGCTTGATTTACTGGCTCTACTGGGACTGTTGCTGTTGCTGGCGCTGCTATTGGCTTTCTTTGGTGGTATCTTGTCCAGACCCACGGCCTCGTAGAGGGCCCTTCGGAAGAACAGACTTGTGGCAAAGTTCAGGGATCCGCTGTACCGGAAAATCCTCGTCTCGGGCACCTGCATGGCATTCCGATGCTGGTTAAGGTCCAAGTAGATTCCAGGGGATTCTGGCATATAGCCCAGTAAACAGGAGTAGGGCTTCAGGCCCTTGATGTACAAGGCCAGGAGGGAAATGCAGATGCCAATGAGGAGACTGTCAAAAGAATATAAGATTAGTTTGATTGCTGTCGATTACTCCTCTTTATAGACCTACCCAATGTCAATATCGATGAGAACCACACACATGAAAGTTGAGATCCAGGTGAACATCTCCAGCTTGCCCTGTTTGGAGAACTTTTTAAGTTCCCTGGCCTGCATGAACATGGGTTTCAGAGCCACAATGATGACACCAGCCAGAACGCACTAAAGTGTACAAG